GTGTAAAGTTTGGCTCTCAGAGACAGTTTGTTACATTAAATATGTTGTTTTACAGAATATTTAAAAAATTCTATTTTTCCAACCTGAGGAGTTGACTCATGGTGACAAAAGAGCAAACCCCAATTCCAGTGACCTTGAAAGCGGTAAGAGGTATACTTATTAATCAAAAGTTGAACAATTTGTACAAAACAACTGAGAAAATATCACCATATGACTTTACAAAGCGTTTTAACTCACTTTTTTTCTTCATTACTACTGGTTTTACATCAACTTGCTTAAAATCTTTTTCATTTCAAAGCAAGTGTCAGGTCCAGACTTTGTCCATATTATGAACAGTTTCCACACACTCGGATTACATCAAGAAGCACAATCCAAACTCTCTCCGAGAGTGTGATCTCTCTGAGTCTCCAAAGTACCTGGAACACCTGTTTAGAGCTTAAGCACTTTTTTTTTTTTTTTAATGGAAGGCTAATACTGCTGATTTTGCAAAAATATATCCTCTATTGTGTCTCCCCTTACCAGGTTGTGTAGTCCTGCAGTGCCATTTGTGTGGGATGAAGAGTGTGAGCAAGCTTTTAATGCTGCCAAGTCCATCCTTTGCCGTTAGGGTTGCAGTTAGCTCCAGTGTTTGTAGCACTCGATTTCTCCTGGCCCTCTAAGTGCCACTGATCAAAATTCAGAAATTATGGGATGTGAATGATTATGGACAATTCAGGGTTCGTTCTTATGGGATGGGATGTTACGTCTATATATGTGGGTGTCTTAGAGTGAGTGTGGGTTTACCTGTGTGGATGAGTCTGTGTGGGAGTGTCTCTGTGAGAGTGAGTGGGAGTGTCTGTGTGGGAGTTTCTGTGGGTGTGCTTTACTCTCGAATTGCAGGATGCCCATCACCTGCAGTTGCTGCAATAAAGGGATCAGAGGACGTGAAAAGTGATTTCCCCCATTTCCGGTATTTCTGGATATTTCTGGTACTAACCCTTGAGTAGCAACATGTTGTTTTTAATCAACCAATCTTAGCTGGTCTGGTGGCCTACATTAATCAGTTTTAAATTAAAAAAAATAAATAAATAAAAAAGTAAAAAAAAACAAACAGCCAAGTCTATTTGTAACCATACACAGCAAATGCTCCCTTTTTCTCTTTTAAAAGCAATATAGAGATTATGTATGGGTCAATTTTGGCCATTCCTCGCCGTTAGATCACATTTGTGGTAATGATCTTTGCACTATTGTGATTAAAAAAATAAATAAATAAGTAAGAAAAAGGGTCTCTGATTTTGTGCATTTATTCTGTAACAAAACTGTTCTTACTTTTGTTTAATATTTTAACTCAAGTGGGCCTCTTCTATGAAGTTAGAAAAGTGCCAAAAGAAGAGCAGACTATGATTTGCACTTGGAAAATCCATAATTCTCAACTTGAAAATGTGCATATCAGAATTTTTAGTTTCTTAAGGATCCCTATTAGTCTAAACCGCAGTGGAGACTATTCTACCTGGGGTCCAGGCCAGAAGAAGATAAATGAACCAGTCATGACATTAGGTACAATCTAGAATAATCTCTTTAGGCAAAACTTTTCCTTTCAGTCTATTCTTAAAACCCACTCTGCTTGTGATAGTTACCAGATGTTGTGGAAGTCGATTCCAGTAGGTGATTGCTCTATACATAACAGTCTTTTTCAAAATATCAGTTTGGGGTTTAAGGTGGGTGAGAGCACCTCTCAGGGGTAGCGTGGTACCATAGTTGTGACTGTCACTAGCAAGCAACAGCTGAGAATACAGATAAGCAGGTTTATGGTATGCATAGATGTTTTAAAAAAATAGAATCAAACCACAAGCTAGTCTTTCACCAACTCTCATCCATGACAATTCATTATGCATTTTCTCAATGCCAGTCCTAAATGAGCAACGGAGAGTTAGGAGAGCTCGTAATTGGTCATCCAATTCGGGGACTGTCCCTGGAAATCCGGTATGTCTGGTCACCTTATGCTAAAGGCTAAAAATGGCAGGTATTAAAACATATATTTTTGACCCCAAGTCCGAGTCCGAAGAGGAGGTGGAAGTTGAAGAAGAAGCCGGAGGGCGAAAGACCTAATTTTGGTGGTCCAGCGGCGTTTTCTCATTCATTTTCCCGGCAGTGAACCCATGGAAACACCAGTCATTTGGAAGAGACCCAAAGTGGATACAGTGGTAGCTGGGTCTCCCTCTGGCTGGAGAGTGATATGATGACTGTGACTGGGTACGAGCCTAACAAAAAAGCAAAAAAAACAAAAACGAACCAAAATAACTTCGGAGTATGAATCAGCCCTATCAGCAACCCCCCCCCCGACGTCAAAATGACCTGCTTTTTCAAAATGGCCTGGTTTTCCTGTTTTTTTTTATTTTAAATCTTTACAGAATGCAAACGACGTAAAGGCTTATTATTATATTTACAACATAAGATGAACATAATATGGACCTAATCTGACACACAAACATGCAAAAATTACATTTTTGGTGGCAGGTCCCCTTTAAGATAAACATTTGATCCCTTGAGCATCCTACTTTGTCGAAAAAGATTGGTTTTGAATTTTCTATTTGCAAACCTCATAATGATAGTTGCTGGTTTGCTTTCATCTTTCTGAGGGAAAGGGTGACAAGCTTCTATATTCTCCTTATTCATGCTAATTCGCTTTTCTTGGAGTAACTTCAACACCTGCTGCTCCACTGAGTCCAAATCTTAGTCCCAGGGCACTGATCCCTGGACCCCGGACCTCACTGCAGCAGCAAATAACGAAGGTCGCGTTAGCAGACCAGTAATAATGACATTGTTCATTAAGTGGAAATGCTGATTAAGCATTTAATTTTAACATTGAAGTCAATGGGGAAATCTTCCAATTCTTCCTTTCATTCTTCCACCTTCTGAGCCTTATAACTTCAGCATACTTTCACCTAGAGACCTCATTTTTGTTTTAAAGTGTTCATTAACTTGTCGACTATTATAGTTGTACTCAGTTTTTTGATATCTTTTACAGTTTTTCCACTATTTAGCTTTAAGCAACTCATGGTTTTCAGCAAATTTCAGGCTTTATAATGGGTGTGTATTGGAGAGTTTAGAGCTGGTGATGTCATTGCTAGAGTGGAGGGGTCCTCTCTGATCGACAAAACCTTGCTCAAATAAATTGCTCCCATGCCCACAAATTTCACTCCACAGCCATAAAAAAAACATCAAAATTAAAGTACTGCTTCTCACAAAAGAGGTTTCAAATCATTAAATCGTACCCCTTGGCCAGCAGGTGACCCACTGTCCAAAAAGGCAGCGATTCCCCCCATTGACCATCATACATTCTCCCAGAAAATCCTGATAATCACTCAGAGTCAGACCTGTTTAACTCACTGTTGTGGCCACATTTTTTAAGTACAGACATGAAAAACACATCATTTGGTTCACAAGGGGCAGAGGATTTGTAGTATGTTCTTATTTTCATTCTGGGATTTAAGAAAATCACGCTAAGTGAAGAAGTTCAGAGGCCCTAAATTCACTGCAGTCAGGCAGCTTCTCATTTAAACAGTAGGTCAGTTAATGCCGTTGATGTCTCACACCTGTTAAGAAGGCATTAACTAACAAACACACACACACTCTGACAACGTGTGTGCGTTAGTCTCTCTCTGTGTCTATGAGACCTGCATGTACACATGGTAAATATGTGTATGCGTGACTGTCTCTCTGTCTATGAGACCTACATGCACACACTTTGACCATGTATCTGCTTCACCACCTATCCTCTTTCACTAACTTTGAGCTACAGAAGGCATTCAGGGCTCAAAAAATTCAGCTCATTGAGGACATTGTGGGGTGTATTTAGGATTTTGTTAATTGTATCAATGTGTTCAGTAGAGTCTTGCGGTTCTCACAAGTTCCTTATCATGAATATAGCTGTTACAGAGAAAGAGCATCAAGGCATAGTCTGGAATTTAGTCTCTCAGCTTCAAGCCTCCTTTCTCCTGCTGTAGTGATGCATCTACGGTCCCCATGGCAACCAATTAGTGCACCTGGAGACACACAGCTGACTGGAAAGCTGCTTCTAACGGCCATATGAGACACGTGAAGCCAGGCTCAGCACACAGCGCTTTGGGGGTTACATTTAAATCCCTTCACTAGAGCGCTTGACAAACTTCGGCCCCTATCTCCTCCCACAAACTTTGAACTACAGAAACCATTCAGGGCTCCAAAAATTCAGCTCATTGAGGATATTATGGCGTGTACTCAGGATTTTTATTCATTTAAATTTTCCCCACTTTAAAATAATCCTGTTATTAATAGATTATTCTATTCTTCAGACAAATTTAAACTCATTCAAACCTTATTCGTCAACCTTGTCTAATACTTGAGGATTTTTAATTATTAAAATTTTTCCCATTTTAAAATAATTCTCATTATTTTGCATTTTTTAATTCTTCAAACAGATTCCCAGTTTTACTACTACAATTACGACTAATATCACTTTAACTTATATCTTCACTTCTACCTCCACTACTCTTGCTTCTCCAAATTTTTTTTTACTGCGTCTCTAACTTTTACTGCCACTATTACTTCTATGGCGAGCTTTACTACTATGACTTCTACTTCTTCTATTCTAAAACTACTTTTACTGCTTACATGACTACTAATATCACTACTACAACCACCTATTATCATACTACTTCTAGTACTACAACTTAAACTTATGCCACTTCTCACTTTTCTGTGTTTTAAGGTAATTTTCTTCCTTATGCAATTTTTTTTTGCAATTTCAGACAGCTTTTTCTAGCCTTATTCAGCATGAATGCAATTTTAATTTATGAAGCACATTCATACTATTTGTACTTCAACAATTTTCACTTTCATCCAACTTCTACTTCTTCTTCTTAAGCCCTTTATCCTCCATTTTTTAGCAGTTTTGCATTGCTTTTTCAGCTTTAAGCACTTAGCATTTCCACGCATTTCCTGCAAGGAAATGCAATTTTTCTAGTTCTAGTATACTGTTCTCAGTCAGATAATCTACTTTTCAGTTGCACAATCATAGCGTCTTTCTCTTCATTTTGCTTCTTCAGTTCCTTAATATCTTTCATCATGCCCATCAAAGTGTCTTGCTTACTTGTCATTGCTTCCATTTGGTGTGCCATAAACTCCACTGATTTCCGTAGCTCCTCATAAGATCTCTTTCGTTCTTCCATGTCTCTTTTGGTGGCCATTGTTGATGGTAGCTGCTGGGCCTCTGTTGAAGCCTGGAGCCGGCCTGATGGTAGCTGCTGGGCCTCTGTTGAAGCCTGGAGCCGGCCTGATGGTAGCTGCTGGGCCTCTGCTGAAGCCTGGAGCTGGCCTGATGATAGCTGCTGGGCCTCTGCTTACAGTAGCTGGTTAGCTGCTAACATTCACTGCGGAGCCAGCTGCTTCCAACCGCCTGGGTGGAGTGTGGAGTGCGCCCTCCTCAGAGTCCGAGACGAGCAGTTAAAGAGCAGTTAAAGCGTAGTTTGAGCATTGCTTTCGATAACGTTATTGGTCATCTTCCCAGTATTTAAAGCCGTGGTACTCTGGGGAGGGGAACTCAGCCCGAATGGAGGAGACCACACAGGCAGGAATAGGGATTCTATTCCTCTTCCCAAGGTAACCTCTGGCCCAAAGACTAAACTGCCTGTAAGCAGTTAACCTGAAGAGACTGACAAAACAGCAATTGTTCATCACATTTGATATCTTAGACAAATTGTCCTAAAAGGTATGACATGGCACAAACACAATGAATGATTATTTGTGCCAGCAGTACACACAACATGGCCCCTTTTTAGAAAATACACTTGAGTGACAATTGTAATAAGTAAATGTGCAGCACTCTGATTTGTCTGAAAGACTGGAAAACTGTTTTAAAAAAACGTTTCATTTATATTGACATCACATAGCTCTCTTATCAAAGTTTTGCACACGTTGAAATGCGGGAATACTTTTACTTCAAACATTCTCAAACTAGATTTTCACAATTACATTCTGCGAGCTATTATGATAATTCACAGAGAGAGAGAAAGAGATGTGGAGAAACTGACTGCAGTAACAAATGCAGAGAGCTTACCTGCTGATGGGCAGCACTAAAGTCCCCGCCTAGACTTCACACAGAGAGAGCATGGCTACCTCCAAAATGTCCCTCTGACAGCATATCATGCAATATGTCCGAAACAGAGTCACACTTTAAATCGCCAACCACATTATCAATCTTCGCCTCTTGGCAACAAATGGATTCCATGGCGGACGGCATGGGAAAACAGTAGCCACACAGGCACCAGGCCGTGTTTTCAGCCCTGTCCTTGCCGCAAAGCTGAGGTTCAGCTACTGCCTCCTTCTCCTCCTTCTCCTTCTTGCTTTAATGGTTTCTTTCTGATCAGCTCAAAGGCATACGTCATTGAGATGGATTTGGTAGAGGTCTATCCTGCCAACTCAAACTCGTCCTCTGATATCGTAACGCTAAGCGATGGAGTCATGTACACTAACTGCTATTTCACTGCTCTGTCCTGCACAACCGGTTATGTCACAACTGTTGTAAACTAAAGATGGCGCTGTGCACATGTTGCACAGTTTTCCTATTAAACAGCTGATTTTTTCCACCGAGTGATTTGGCACATGCGGTTCCTCATTGTCCCTCGCCAGGCAATGCTGCGCTGCTGACAGCTCAACTGAAGTGAGAAACAAACTAATCACTTGAGGAAGTGATTTGGTTCAGTACGCACTCAAAAGATTTGGTTCTTTTGAATGAATCATTCGCGAACGACACAACACTACTTTATTAACTCTGACACTGTTGACAGAAGACACTTTTTTGTGCATTTTTTTTCTGCATTTGTGCAATCACAGACACACACACACACACACACACACACACACACACACACACACACACACACACACACACACACAGAGTGCAAACCCAGTGGAGTGAGACAAAAGCATGCATCCAGGCTCAGCATCAAAGCTGTTCTCTTCTGGGACGAGTGTAAACAGTTAGCCCGAGGTGTGGCTCTTTTCTCTGTGGGAATTTGCACTCTGTGTGTGTCTTCATGTGTTTGTGTATGTGTGTGTGTATGTTGTGTACGTGTGTTTGTGTGTGTGTGTGTGTGTGTGTGTGTCAGTAAAGGCTAACAAGGAGGCACACAGATTGGGTTTGTGTGTCTCACTCAGGCTGCCTCTCTTCTTGCTTGTCCCTTTTTCTCAGTTTTTCACCTCTTTGTATTTTATGCTGTCTTCTCATGTTGTTTCTCTTTTGTCTTAACCTTTTTTTCTGTTACTTTTACAGTCACTCATTTAAGTAGTATCATTCTCATACTATCATGATTTATTTATTTTTACAAAGTTTTAAGAAGAAAAATTGAAAGTTATCAGTGAAAGTCATTGCTGACCTTGGTTTATGCGCTTGACCACTGCTGTAGCTGCCGATACCATTATTAGGATCACATATGTCTGTGCTGAAGTGTCTTTATCACTCTGCTATACTTTACCTAAATGTTGAGTTGATATTTGAGCCAATATTAGATGTGCAATTGTCAATTGTGCTGCAATAATTGCATAGCATAGACTATATGTTGCAAAGAAAAATGAGGGAAGCCCTCTAACTTCGGACCACATGAAAAAATAAAAAAAAGGATTTTTCAGGGATCATAAATGGTGGAACATCTGTTGATAGATCACCTTAGAATAGAATAGAATAGAAGAATAGAATATTCCTTTATTGATCCCCCATGGGGGAAATTTTTTTGTCACAGCAGCATCACAGACAAGCCAAAAAGTGCAAAAATGCAGTTATAACAATAAGGGTCCTAATATTAAGAACTTAAATAAATGTAATAATTAAGAAAAAAAATTAGAAAAGGGAGAAGAAAAAATAAAGCTTTCTACAATATACACAATTTAAATGCCATAAAAAAAGTGGTGGTGTAAAATCAGTTTTGTTACTGTTCATTGTAAAGTCTTATTGCAGAGGGGAGGAATGATCTGCGGTAGCGCTCCGTCCTGCAGGGTGGGAGTCTCAGTCTGCTGCTGAAGGAGCTGCCTAAAGCCCCCACAGTCTGGTGCAGTGGGTGAGAGGGATAATCCATGATGGATACAAGCTTTGTTAACATCCTCCTCTCACCCACCTCCTCCAGGGAGTCCAAAGAGCAGTCCAGGACAGAACCGGCCCTCCTGACCAGTCTATTCAGTCTCTTCCTGTCCTTCTCGGTGCTCCCTGCCCCCCAGCAGACCACTGCATAGACAAGTGCAGATGCTACCACAGAGTCATAGAAAGTCCTGAACAGAGTCCTGCACACTCCAAAGGACCTCAGTCTCCTCAGCAGGTGGAGACGACTTTGGCCCTTCTTGTACAGGACGTCTGTGTTTGTTGACCAGTCCAGTTTGTTGTTGAGGTGGACACCCAGGAATCTGTAGGACTCCACCATCTCGATGTCCAGACCCTGGATGTTCACTGGAACTGTTTGAGGTGTCCCCCTCCTGCGGAAATCCACAACCATCTCCTTTGTCTTACTGGCGTTGAGCTGGAGGTGGTTTGTGCCACACCAGTTGACAAAGTCAGTGATGACAGTCCTGTATTCCCGCTCATCCCCACGATACACATCCGACGATGGCTGTGTTATCAGAGAACTTCTGGAGGTGACAGCTCCCAGAGTTGTAGCTGAAGTCAGAGGTGTACAGGGTGAAGAGGAAGGGGGAGAGCATTGTCCCCTGTGGAGCCCCCATGCTGCAGACCACCATGTCCGATACACAGTTCTGAAGCCTCACAAACTGTGGTCTGTCGGTGAGGTAGTCCACGGTCCATGCGGCTAGGTGACAGTCCACTCCCGCCCGCTCGAGCTTCCCCCTGAGCAGTGAAGGCTGGATGGTGTTGAACGCACTGGAGAAGTCAAAAAACATGACCCTCACAGTGCTGCCAGTGTTCTCCAGGTGAGCCATGGACCTCTGCAGCAGGTAGATGACTGCGTCATCCACCCCGATGTTTGGCTGGTACGCAAACTGCAGAGGATCCAGATGAGAGCTTACCAGGGGGCAGAGGTTCCTCAGCACGATCCTCTCCAGAGTCTTCATCAGGTGAGAAGTGAGGGCCACAGGTCTGAAGTGGTTGGGCTCCCTGGGGTGCGCTGTCTTGGGGACAGGAATCACGCAGGAAGTCTTCCACAGTGTTGGGACCCTCTCCAGACTCGGGCTCAAGCTGAAGATGTGCAGTAGCACCTCACAGAGCTGGTCTGCACAGTCTTTCAGGAGTCTGGGGCTGATGCCATCAGGACCCGTAGACAAATTGAAGACAAAGACAAATTGAATTTATGAAAGACACAGAAGCTAAATCCAATTCAATCAATCCAGTTCAAAGAACAGAAGGCCCATTTAATTCAAAGACACTGGTTGTATATCAATGGAGGCAGATTAAACAAAGGACAGATCAGCATGAAATAACCATGAAATGTTTATTTCTGAGCAATGAGACTGTCGGTGGAACAAATGAGGCTGTTAGTCTGGTCTCAAGCAGGCCAGCTACACAGAACAAATCTCCATGGTAACTTAAATGTCCCTTATTTTGTGCTACCCAGTCCTGCCTAAGATCAGCCAGGATAAGAGGAAAATCTCAGCCTCGTCTATTATCTAGGTTTTGTGCAATAGCCCCGTCCCCAGTGAATGAATGTTTATCCTATTTATAGGACAGACAAGCTCCGAACACCAGTTTAAGGTTCATGGAAAAAAACAAAACAAAACAAAACAAAACAAGATGTGATAGAATCAATCATTAATCAGTAAAATGGCTGATGAGATGGATGTTGATCTTGTATTGGTTGGTTGCACAGGTTTTCCGACGAACACCAGGGAGACAGGAAAATCAGTCATGTATTGCATCTGCCACAGTGTTCATAATTATCTCATCATTAGTATTCATATATTGTCTGGGTAGAGTTTCCACTTTAACAGTAGGGTTTGTGTTCAGAGATTAATCTCAAATAATCCTCCTCCGTTGAAGTAACTGCACTTATGTCCTTTACCTTCCTGTGTACAGCTCAGGGAAATTTGTGTCGCTTCTGTGACTTCTAGCCTTCCTGTGATGTGAACCGTTTCTGAAAGCTTCTTTGCTTTTCCCACTTCTGCATTTAACAATGTTTACAACTTTCTATTTCTTAAGCGGTCCATGTGCTTAGCCCACAAGATCTTCAAGGAGAAGGAGTGGGATACTTACACCATTTCAGATGACTGCTGTACTTTTCAAGCACTCCCCACAGCACTAACTGTGTTTAAAGGTACATTATAAAGAATTGGGAGTATTCAGTGATGTAGAAGTTAATTATATTTCGAGACTCTCGCTTCAGTGTAGGTGCTATGAAGCTTGATGAGAATGATCCTCCATTTGTGGAGTTTTTTCCAACTAAAACTCAGGTTTGTAACTAGTATATTACTATTTTGTCTATTCTCTGCTACTGTAGAAACATGGTACAAGTAAGTGTAACCGTACCTTATAACCCTCATAGCGTGCTTGATAAGAAGAAGAAGAAAAAGAAGAATTTTATTAATCCCCGAAGGAAAATTCAATTGTCTGTTGTCTCACTTGACATGTCTCTAAAAGTTATCTACTATTTACTTTTATAAAGTCTGATGGCTGTTGGTACAAAAGATCTTCTAAATCTTTCAATCCTGCAGCGAAAAGAGCGGAGCCGTCTACCACCATTGGCCCTTTGGTCCATTAAGGTGTTGTGAAGTGGGTGATCCATGTTCTTGAGAATAGTCTCCACCTTCCTCAGTGTAGATCTCTCCACCACATCCTCCACTGAGTCCAGCTTGAGTCCTACCGCAGAGCCAGCCTTTTTCACCAGTTTGTTAAGACGTCTTGCATCTTTGTGTTTGATGCTTCCTCCCCAGCAGACTGCAGCATGGAACAGAAAACTTGTCACCACAGACTGATAAAACATCTGCAGTATCTTACTACAGATGTCTATTGATCTGAGTCTTCTCAGGCAAAAGAGGCGGCTCTGCCCCTTTCTGTAGATGAAGTGTTGATCTTAGACCAGTCCAACTTATTATCCAGATTTACACCTAGGAATTTATATGATGTCACCACTTCGATGTCCACTGCACAGGTTTTCACTGGCTGAAGAGGGGGTTTGGATCTACAAAAGTCTATGACCATCTCCTGTGTCTCTGAGGTGTTGAGGAGGAGGCAGTTTTTGTGACTCCAGTCACTGAAGGCTCTTATCAGATCTCTGTATTCAGCTTCTTGTTCATTTCTGATACATGCCATGATAGCAGTGTCATCTGAGTATTTCTGGATGTGGCAGGACTTAGTGCTGTATTTGAAGTCTGACGTGTACAGTGTGAACAGGAATGGCACCAGCACTGTCCCTTGTGGAGCCCCTGTACTGTCATTAATGTCCTAGAAACACAGTTCCCCAGGCTGACAAACTGTGGCCTTCCTGTCAGGTAATCTGTGATTCAGGAAACACAGGAAGGATCCACTCCCATCTCTGTGAGCTTGTCTTTGAGTATGGTGGGTTGGATGGTGTTGAATGCACTTGAAAAGTCGAAGAAAATGATCCTCACATAAACCCCAGATTCTTCCAGATGAGACAGTGCACGGTGAAGCATGTAGAGGACAGCATCATCCACTCCAATGTGTTCTTTGTATGCAAACTGCAGGGAGTCCAGTTTGTCTTTGACCTCAGAACTCAGAAGGTGTAGAATCAGCCGCTCCAGGGTTTTCATGATATGTGAAGTGAGGGCCACTGGTCTGTAGTCATTCAGTTCAGCAGGACATTTTGTTTTTGGTACTGGCACAATGCAGGATGTTTTCCACAGAGTAGGTACCTGCCCCAGCTGTAGACTCAGGTTGAAGATCTTATGGAGAGGTTGACACAGTTCTGCAGCACAGTCTCTAAGCAGCCCTGGACACACACCATCTGGACCAGCTGCCTTCCCAGGACAAAGTCTTCCAAGCTCCATCCTCACCCCTGTTGCGGTGACGGACAAGGACTGGTGTTCGAGGGGGGAGGCAGTTGAAGTGGTTGAGACATTTAAACGAGATGGAGGAGGAAGGGGAGGAGTTGTATTGGAGATTTGTTGAGGAGAGGAAGGTGGAGTAGCAGTGAAAGTGGGTGTGACAGCAGTGTCAAATCTGTTGAAGAACTGGTTGAGTTCATCAGCTCTTTCCAGATCACCCACCACTGGCTGTCTTTTCTTTTCATTGCTTTGTCCAGAGATGGTACTCTCGAAACTTCATGTATATTGCTGTGTTCTAGATTCTTCTCTATCTTCTTTTTATACTCCAGTTTTGCCATCTTCAGTCTCAACTCTTGTTGCACTTGTTTGAGTCGGTCTTTGTCACCATCTTTAAAAGCTTTCTTTTTTGGTTAAGGATTGCTTTTATGTGACTTGTGATCCAGGGTGTGTTGTTGGGGAAACAGCGAACAGTCTTTGCCAGTATAACTGTGTCTCTACAGAAGTTGACATATTCAGTAAAGCAGTCAACCTGTTTATCAATGTTCATACTATCCACATCTGTTTCCGGCAGCACATTCCAGTCTGTTGATTTAAAACAGTCCCTTAGAGCTTCACTGGTTTGAGGTGTCCATCTTCTGATTTTGACTTTGGTCACAGGCTGCCTCAGCACACAAGGTCCGTAACGGGTTTGCAGATAGACTGAGTTATGATCTGACTTGCCCAGAAGTGGTAAGCCAGTGGCTCTGTAGGCTTCTTTGACGTTGGCATACAGCAGATCCAGGTTTTTGTGAACTGTCCTACCAGAGAGAACAAACTGTGTGACTCCAGTCAGGTGAGAGGAGAAGAGGAGATACCCTTCTGATCAAAATCTTAAGATCAGTTAAAAATTTGCAAGAATTTATATTTAGCACTGTTGGACCTTAAGACGGTTCTTAGTAGAGCTTCAAAATGCAAAAAGAAGAAATGGAAACAAGAGACCAAAGGTTTTGAGCAGGCAATTTATTAAAAACAACAATTTAACTAAAATAGGCTGTTCATCAGCTAATCAAAAGTTTAAGACCACAGTTAAAAAAAAAACAAAGACCTCCTAAAACAGAAATTAAAGTGTCAAAAACGCACTCAGTAATGAGTAGCTCCACCATTATTGTTGATTACTTAAAAAATTTGTTTTGGCGTGCTTGATGCAAGTGTTTTCAGAAGGTGAGTGGGAATGTTACTCCAAGTAGTGAAGATGGCTTCATGAAGGGCATCCACTGTCTGGAACTGATGTCCATTTTTATAAACCTCCCTTGCCATCCATCCCCAAATGTTCTCAATCGGATTTAGATCAGGGGAACATGCAGGATGGTCCAAAAGAGTGATGCTATTCTCCTGGAAAAATTCTTGGTCAGAAGGGCATTGTGAATTGTCCTGCTGAAAAACCCAGTCAATAGGGTCCTCAGTCATGAGGGATGCCCACTGCAACATCTCCACATAGCCAGCTGCTGTTTGAGGCCCCTGCACAACCTGGAGCTCCATTGTTCCTTTAACGAAGAAGGCACCCCAGATCATGATGATGCCCCCTCTCCTGTGCCGCGTAGAAAACATCTCAGGTAGCATCTCCTTGTCATGCCAGTAGCGTTGGAAGCCATCAGGACCATCGAGGTTAAAATTTTCTCATCAGAGAATAAAACTTTCTTCCACCTTTGAATGTCCCATGATTGGTTCTCCCTTGCAGAGTCCAAACGGGCAATTTTGTGGCGTTGAAGGAGACATGGCCTTTGAAGACATTTTTGTTTTTGAAGCCCTTCCTTCGCAGATGTCGTCTGATTGTTATTGGACTGCAGTCAGTGCCTGTATTGGCCTTAATCTGGGATGAGGATCGTCCCGCGTCCTGACGGACACACACTCAGACCCTCCGGCTCAGCAATGGTGACATTTTTTCACTATCTTTGTCATTTCACTATCTTTGTCTGTGATGCTGCTGTGACAAAAAAAAAATTCCCCCCATGGGGGATCAATAAAGGAATATTCTATTCTACTTTTTTTGTTCCATAACCCTTTCATAATCTTTTAAAAAATGAAAAATGACGGTCTTACTGCGTCCAACCTCAGCAGCGATGACACGTTGTGAGAGGCCTTGTTTATGCAGCTCAACAATCCTACCACGTTTAAAGGCAGTGAGCATTTTTGTCATCAAGAGATGTTGACAGTGTGACTGCTTGACAAGAAATGACATGGAATCCAAATTTTTGCACAGATTTGGGCTTTTAAAGGCTGTCGTCTTAAAGTTTTGATCAGCTGATGAACAGCCTATTTTAGTTAAATTGTTGTTTTCAATAAATCACCTGCTGAAAACTTTTCGTCTCATGTTCCCATTTCTTATTTTTGCATTGTGAAGCTCTACTAAGAACCATCTTAAGGTCCAACAGTGCTAAATATAAATACTTGCAATTTTTTAACTGGTCGTAAGATTTTGATCAGGAGTGTATTAATGATATGACTGAACTCTCTTGGAACATTATATGGCCGAAGAGCAGCTGCCAACAGTTCAAGATCTAGACAACACAACTTCTCCTTGACAGTTATGTGTGAAGGGTTACACCATCTCTGGTTGACAAATAAGCAAGAAGAAAGGAGGAGGTCTGGCTTTGAGCATCTCTGTCTGACCTTATAAGAGTGAAGCCAGGTAGATCCACACTGGAGTCCGAGTTGTTTTGATTCAACCAGGTTTCAGTAAAACACAGGAAACTGCACTCACGGTATTCTTTCTCAGTTTTCACCAATATCTCCAGCTCATCACTTTTGTTGGGCAGAAAGTTGATGTTTCCCATGATGATTAACGGAAGAAAGGATTAATATCGCCACCTCCTAGCATTCAGCTATGCCTTCACCTTTGCACCAGCATGGCAACTACAATAACGCCTCCTGATGCCCTCTGGAATTGTATGTCGTTGTCCAGATTTTCTTTTCTCAGTGAAAGGACCTCTTCTCTTGAGTAAACTCCTCGCCCAGCAGAAGTATCCATTAGCAGCCAACAAAATGACAACAAAAATATGAAAAAAATCTTGCAAAAATTACAGATAATACAGAGAGACCAGACTTGCAGCAACCTCTCAGTTCAAGTGCACCATTTGAATTTTGAGCTCAAACATTACTTTTAGCTCAAATATTAATGATTTTTGTGTTACAAAAAAATGCGTTATAAAGTGTTTAATGGCCCTGGTTATTGAGCCCCATCCCTAGTTGCTTTGCAATACTTCATCTAAATAGCAGTCGGAAGTAAAATATACATGCACAACATATCAGTTTCCTTTCTCGTGTACAGGAAACCATGGCAACTAAATACAAACGTTAGAGTTGAAGCCGATAGGTGTTATGCAGCTTGATCATGCTGCAATTATCACATTGTAGAAACCAGAGGGCATTGGAATTATAAGTTTATTTTGACTTTCTTTCTTTAAAGCTGGGGTAGGCAGGATCTCAGAAGTGCCAGTTTTTGGGAGACATTTTGAATGTAAACACTACTCCTCCCCACCAGTTTTCTCCTAAGCTCCTCCTCTGGCCTCCCTCTTTGCTCCAGCAGGCCCCGCCCACAAACAAATGCTCGTACTCGTTCTCGTTCCAACTCGTGGGCAATTTACAACTAGACTAGAAAATTATCATTATCATTACCAATCATATCAGCAAAGACTTGAACAACTTTTGTCACAACAGAGTCAGCAGTAGTAATGGTGCATAAAAGATGACACATAATTGAAACTTCTTGCTCTGGATTTTCTGTTATACAGCTTGCAGTACCTGAAATGCAGAGAAGGAGAGTGTGGTATAAAGATATTACTATATCTCAAATATATGTTGTACTTATTTATTTATTTTATATGTAAACTTTTCAAGCTGCTTCACCACTCAACAGCACAACTACGCAGAGTTTTGTAAAACAATAATGGTGCTTCCAATTAAATTTAGATTAATAAAGATAAATACTTTGGATAATTAGAAATGGGGCCCAGTCAACATAAAGGTAAATAGCATTGATGCTACTGTAGATTCCAACAGACTACCATGCAGACACTGGCAACTGTAGGTGTGCAATAAGACCAAAATGTCAAGTCCTAAAACCTCTTCAATACAGTGGCACCCATACACCGGCCACTACAACTGCTTACAAGCACCACAGTGCATTTAAATATTACGGGAAAAAGAAGTTCAATCAATCAATCAATCAACTTTATTTCTATAGCACATTTAAAAAGAACCACAGGGTAGCCAAAGTGCTGTACATTGAGACATAAAAACAAATAAAACAAGCAAAGAACAAGATAAAGCAAACAGGAATACATAAATGCGAAAATAAATAAATAAATAAGCTGGCTCACGGCAAGTGCTATGAAAATAACTAACAAACAAGTTAACACTACAATGTGTTAAAAGCCAAGGAGTAAAAGTGCATTTAGTGGATTTAAAAACAGGAAATGAGGAGGTCTGTCTTATTGTCAAGGGCAACTCATTCCAGAGGTTGAGAGCAGCTGCGGCAAAGGCTCCGTCACCTCTGAGCTTCAGCCTTGTTTTAGGGACCGTCAGCATCAGCTGATCAGCTGATCTGGTGAAGAACTAGCTTGGAATCCAGCTCAAAGCCGATGCTATCCCACAGTTGTCTCCATCTCTGAAATGCTGCTCCGATAATTACCTGTTTTGTTGCGTTTATTGTCAGATTCTCTTTTAGACTCTTTTACAAAAGTCAGTCTTCCGTATTTTGGCCCGCTTTTTATTGTTGGCAGTTGTTGCCAATACAGGAATTGGTACTTTTTCTCTCCGACTAGCCGCCATTTCGACCAGGGTTGTGTCGCGAACACACATTGGTGTTTAAAGACTTTCTCAACTGGCCCGTGATTGGCTGATACCACCCGTAAAGGTACAGATTTTCTGAGCCAGGAGGAGAGGCAGAAGTGTGATCTTCTCTCAAACCTTTTCAAATTCAATACGCTAAAAGGTTATATGACATTTTTTCCAAAATTATAAAAAAAATTATTCTGCTTACTGCACCTTCAAATGCATAAATCATTATTGGATTTTAACTTTCTTCTCCCTGTTGACTTTCTTCTTCTTTTTTTTTTTTTTTTTTGGAGTGTGCAACAACAAAAAAATTAATCCCTGATTATTTTCTACTTCTTTAATGGCCATCACGCTCTTCCATAATAGTAGATATGAAATGAGTCACCATTTTATGCATGCAATTCCATTAAAAAAATACTGATAGTGAGTCTGTAGTGTAAAAGATCTTAAGCGGATCGATAAAAAATTGCTGTGAACAGAGTTCTTGTTAGCTGGACCCTCATCAACAGCCATTACCCAGAAAAGAAGCAGGACCACCCACACAGTTCTCTGAGCAGACATGGTGAATTTACTGGAGGAATGACTGCATAAACACACGGCAGACTGCTACCAAAGATTTGGCACTAAAGGTGACAGAGTGATGAAGACCTCCAAGGATCAAGAGCACAAAGCCTTTTTAATTTTTATCAATTTGTCTGCAGTGTAGCCTGGTTTTAAACGCATGCATATATGGTGAGAACCCTTGTGTCAGCTGCTTATTAAATTCTTAAAGGCACAGGACTCTCTTTGACATAATGTATTTCCATTCTACTCCAAAGGAATGCCGACCCTCTCCCCCAGATCTGCTGCCTCCGTCTCCTATGGCTCCACAGCAGTGGCGGCTGCTGGTCTTTCAAGGAGGGGAAGCTCATTTTTCTGGCCTACATCATAATTGTGTTTGTTTATTTGTATGTAACAGAACAGAGTCGCCAAACACAACGGCAGTCATTTTTAACAAAGACAAAAGTCGCTGAGGATCGGTAAAGTCTCCGAAGCAGTTAAGAACAACGGAATGAATAACTTGAAAAATGCTTTGGTAGATGTTTTATTCTTCAAGATCGCTGATTTGCTTGTTTAGCTGTCAATCAAAAAAGGATTTCGCCTCAGACAGCTCATCCAATCATGGATGCAGAAGCTCAGCGTCCGCGAGAAAGTTGGGACCGCCCTCTCATCATAGAACTCCAGAGACGCTGAGCGTCCGATGGGCGGGACAAAGCCCAGTATTTATCCAATAAGCGTCTAGTTTCGCTGCTGGAACAACCCACTTTGAGCTTCTACATTAAAGTCAGCAGACGCTGAGCGTCCGGCTGTGTGAAGCGCTGAGGCGCTGTGAGGATGAATGAGAACAAAGTTATGCCGGTTACCAGTGATTATCAGCTTCTTATCTGATTCTGAACAAAAGATGAAGGCTTTCTAGCGCATATTTAGTTAATGAAATGTACACACAGCAGTACGTATGTCACCACTTTTTCTTTTTTTGGGGGGGTGACATTTTAAGGGAAGCTGAGCTTCCCTTGCAGTCTTAGAGCAATCGCCACTGCTCCACACCCACTACGCAGCTCCAAGCCATTGTTTACACCTGCGCCGTGGCGTGGGTCTCGACTACCTGAGGTAATCGCCGCACTGAAGCCCGAGTCCCAGATGGAGCTTCAGCAGCCCTCTGTGCCATTGGCCACACGATATCCGGGCTCGTGTCTCTCTGGTTCAACCCAAGTGGCTCAATACCCCGTGAAGCACAGCACCTCCACCAGTGCCCGCTCCAACTTAGGGAAAGCGCCCTGTGTTTCCTCCAAGACAAGGCCTCAGTCATCGTGTACATGTCACTCCGGCCCCCTGCTTCTCCTTTTCTCCTCTTTACCTCTTCTTTTTCTTCTTACCCCTTCTTCCCCTTCTTTGACGGCTGATTGTTCCCCAGTTTGAACGCAGTGTCTTGGAACACTCAGCCACACTACCAAGCCCTGCAACAGTGCAGCTGAGGTGGCTTCATGACTTGCAATCTTCACTTGAAGCAGTGTATAACCTGTGGACAGACCCCCAAAACAAAAATGAAACAACCAAACGAGTAACTGAAGGGACATGACATAAGCCCAGAGTGGGGCAAGGACCACACCATTGGGAGGGGAAGGTGTGAATGGATGGGCGTAGCATGTTACTGCTATGCTAATATGCCAGTAAGCCCAAAGGTTAAGGCTTGGCCTTGTGTAATGATCTTTGCTGCTTGATAGAGAGACAAGTACATTTACCCTTCCAGTGGCTCATCAAGTCAGAGAAGTGATAGAGCTTTGAAGACAAGAGGCAATTTTATTCAAGGATAAAGCTGTGCTTGTCTTATGGCAGTGGATTTGATTTGAACGCATGCCCCCTGAGAGACTGGAGCCTTAATCCAGCGCCTTAGACCACTCGGCCACACTAGCTTGTTGTATGCGAAGCTTCTTGAGAGGTTTGCAGGTGCAGGGCATCTTGACATGTATCTTGGATAAGCTGGGATTTGTAAGTTGCATAAACTGCACTTGCAATACTGACCTGGCTGATGCATAACCCAATGGCAACCAAAGACCAGACTGACTAAAAGGGACAGCACAGACCCACAGTTGGCTACTGACTGCAAAGTTAGTAGAAGATGGTTTTGATCCATCGGGTTATGGGCATTTTCAGCTAAATTTATGTTTTTTTCAGGGCATGAGGGAAGATACATGTGGATCAAGAAGTTGGAGGTTCGATTCCCACTTATTCCAAAAACTCCTCAGGGTTTTTAGGTACTCAAATGAGTCATATTTTCACAACATCAGTAAACAGCAGTTTCAATGCTGTCAGTACTTTTTGTGAACTTGTTTTTGCTGGGTTTGATACGCTTTTAAGACTTTAAGAATTTTTTTTTAATAGTTGACTCTCAGCTTTTAATTTCACGACTGCAAACAATGTAAACTTGACCTCACTCTTTTAGATACTTAAATATTTAATGTATCTGAAACATTAAATGTATCACACTTTTATTTTTGAGTAAAAACAAGAATCAGCAAACACAGCAAACGCTAACACTGTAAAAAGTGATAACACAACACATAGTTGATCCATGAAGTTGATCCATGAAGTAGTACCTGTCAATGTCTAACACCTGGCGTGCTCTCTTGTGGACACCACCACCTGTAAGATGCCCACCACATTTGAGGCAAAACACTCTTATCTTCCAGAGGTGATAAGGCATCCACACCAGAAGACAATGGCAGAAGAAGCGCTCTGGAGTGAGTACCTGGTGGTAGATCAGAGAGGGGTGGTTCATACCACAGTTTGAGGTCCTCCCGAAGACGCTGGTTTCTCCACAGTGCTAATGAAATCCAATTTTGATCCTGAATTGGAAGGGTCTTCTTTAGTCTTTCAGGCAACCACAGTGGACTGGATCCAGGTGCAGCAGCCAAAGGCACTGAAAACACTGGGGCCACTGAAGTAGATCCATCCTGATGAAGGCAGAGAAATACAGAGAATAATGTTTCACAACAAATTTACCATAATTTACAAGCCAAGACAAGACAATTGAAATATTAAAGCTTGGATAAAAACACTTGCAGGGTCAGTAGATTGTGGAGGGCTGTTCACGGTGGGCTTAGTGGTCTTCACAGAGGCAGAAGCAGAAGGTGGGAGAGAGAATGGAGAGGTGGTTTGGATAAACCTCTTGGGAAATGGAGGAGGGACCTGGGGAGTGAAAGTGGCTGTTGGAGGTCAAGGAATAGGGGGGCTTGATGGAGTGGCCATTGAGACATTCCCAGGTGAGGCTGTGGCAGTGCTTGATGGAATCTAGAAGAAAATTTTGTTTGCAGTTAAGAACTATACAAGTGTGATTGTAATAAAAGTCAAATGTTGGATGAAAAATAAACACATACTTTTATCTATTACAACAATCAACAACATAGTTTCCTTCCAAACAATAATAATATAAAGTAAAGGGTATGTTAGGACTCGTACAAAGGCCACGATCCAAAAATGCAGAGGCAAATGCTCAAATTTATTGACAATAAACAACAAAACAAAGTGAACAACAGAAAATCGCAGTTTCCGGGAAAAGGCACGGTTGGCTCGGACTGCTACTAAAAAACACAAAACCAGAGTTAGAAAAAGAGTCACCGCAGAAAGGCAAATCGCTGGTGAAAAACAAAGTTCAAATGATGGTGTCATGTGGGGCGAGTAACAACTCAGGATGTAAAAGACAAAGTGCAACAGAAATAGTAAACCAAAAAATCTTCTCAACTAGAGGGAAAAAACGCAAACACAAAATCACCTTTACTCAAGGGAAAAATTCTCTGGAAAGTAACAAGAGAACTCACAACAAACACCGATAGGCAGACTGGATACATGGGTGGGAGAGCAGGAAGCTCGGCACGTGCAAGACACGTGTTGCATGACTGAGAAATCATCTGGCACTGAGGCGTCTTCTTCTTCTTCTTTTAGTTTGACGGCAGTTGGCACTCTTGTGTACGGTGCATTACCGCCCTCTTCTGACAATTCTTATACAAAACCCTGTGCACCACCCATCCCCCTCTCATACACTCACACATTCATACTCCTACAGACTAAATCCTATCAATCAACCCTGTCACCCTTAAAACTCGACTAACACTCTCACATGTGCCCTGTCCCCCATCTGTAATACTCCCTTTAGTGTAAGGTCCTGCATACCCAATTCCCTCAACTTATTTCTCATCTCTTCCCTTTCTATCTCATATCTCCTACAACCCATTAGAACATGCTCCACTGACTCCTCCACCTGACATCCCTCACATAACGTAGTCTGGTGTTTCCATATCATTTTCAGTGTTTTGTTTAATGCACAATGACCTAACCTCAACCTTATCAATGCTGACCCTTCCTTTCTCTGTCCACTACCCAGCCTCATAACTTTAACACTCTCTTGAATCTTATACAGGTGCCTTCCTTATTTCTCACCCTCCCATTTCTTCTGCCACATTTGAATAAGCTTTTCCCATATCATACTCTTAACTTCCGCTTTACCTAACCTAACATTCAGCTCCACTGATTCCCTCCCTAATGCCTCCTTAGCCATCACGTCTGCCTTCTCATTTCCTTCCACCCCTATATGTGCTGGAACCCTAAAAAATCTGATCTGACCCCCCTGCTGTACTATTCTTGTCACTGACTGTAATATTTCATATAATAAACCCTGACGGCTGCTTGAATGGAACGATCTAATGCTAGCTAATACTGACACTGAATCCGTGCATATAACTACCCTCTGTACTCTAACTTTTTCCACCCATTTCAGTGCAATCAACACCCCCAACATCTCCACTGTGTTTACCGCTAGACCATCTGATGTCCTTCGATTGATCTCAATTCCTCTCGATGGCACCACTACCCCTAATCCTGTCACCCCCATCTCAGGTTGTTTTGCCCCATCTTTGTATACCTGAACAAAGCCGCTGTATTCTTCCCTCAGGCGTTGATTAACTACGCTAATCAAGCCAACCTGTCCTCCCTCTTTCCTTTTCTTTCCCATTACACTCCAATCCACTGTTGGCCATACCATTCTCCATGGTGGCATTGATGGATACACTACTGTTAGGCCTACCTCCACCCCCCACCCCCCCCACCCCAAGCTCTGCTGCTATTCTATTCCCCATCCTACCAAAATGCTCCCTCTTTCCTTTCCCATCCTCCCAACACTCCTTTATCACTCCTTTTGTGGGGTGGGTACCACTGCTGCCCTTCAAACTAATCCAGTAGTTTGCAATGAGATGTTTGCGCCTCAGGCATAGCAGCATCTCACCCAACTCCACCTGTACTGCAGGCACTGGTGACGTCCGGAAGGCCCTACTGGCAATGAGGCAACAGAGGAGCTGGCATATAAAGCCAGGTAACTGACACCAGCGCTGCAGAGGGAGAGAGAGAGAGAGAGAGAGAGAGAGAGAGAGAGAGAACACACAGAGAGCGAGGAACACAGGAAACCCCACTGCTGCATAAACTCAAAAACCTCACAGGGTAACTTGAAATAAGATCCAGAGAAATACAAACAACCCATATCAGTAACAGATACTAATTGAGAAGTTCTAAACAACTATGAAAATTTACGACAAGATTTATCAATCAAATTTTTTATCATACCTGATGAGTTCTCCTGGCAAGACTAAGGTTAGGCTTGACTGCAGAACTCAGAGAGCCACCAAACCGGGATTTTTCAAACTGAAGGATTAAATGTCAGTAAAAGATTAATCCTCTTTGCATACTTAAATGTATTAGTGCAGTGGTCTCCATATGGCGGACCACGGTCCACTTCCGGACCGGGAAAGAGTCCAATACGGACCCGAGCCTACCGCAGAAAAATGTATGTTTTTTTTCTCTCTTGCAGGCCTGCACGATGTACGTGTGTGCGATAGTCACATCGCAGAGCCTGCGATGTCGGAGGTGAATGAACTCAGTTAATTTCAAGGGTAGCTGACTGAGATACACTGCATGTGACTCTGCATGTGCTGTACAGCGATCCACCAATCACCTTTGTCCTTTACTCAGTTGCCAATCAGACTACCCTGCCAGCTGTCAATCAAAATCAGAGAGGAGGAAACCCACCCCTGCACATGTTCTGCACATGGAGGGACTCGCTGCAGGTGTTGATTCGAGAAACGCGTGTCCGCTGAGAATTACTTTCGGAACTTTACTGACTGTTAAGCCCAACAAATAAGAACTGTATGGGTTTTAAAATGTATATTTCAGTGGGCCACTCTACTATAAGCAGTGCGCGTTTTGCGAGGTGCATGCAATTCTCGGAGGACATGCGTTTCTCAGCACAACACCGCTAACAACAACAACAACAACAACAACGATTGCAAAATGAGCAACGAACAAGAGAAAACCACCGAAAGTTAAGATTTGTTGCCAAAAAGAAAAGGAAAGTCAGTTATCTGGAATTATTTCGGTTAAAAGAAGGATGATGTCAACCAAAACACGTGTTCTGTGTTCATCTGTCGCCACAATAACGTCCCAGCACAATAAAAGCTAAAAATATCTCTGAGACAGACAGAAGCCATTCTAACATTCACAAAAAGAGGTAAGATCAGTGCAGGTTAACTGTTCTCAAGACTTCAGCAGTGCAGTATAACATTAAATGCTATTCAGGTCATCTGGTGAAAATTCCTATATTTTTAATATCGCAATATATATCGCAGGGTTGAAAAAAATCGCAATGTTAGTTTTTTCCAATATCGTGCAGCCTTACTCTCTTGCTTTGTGCCTGGTTCAGTAAAATGCACGTGCAATTTCAGCAAGGCATTACATCACTTGCTTACTCACTTGACTTGTCAATCAAATCAGACCTCTTAGCCTACTTAGCGATCCCGATGTTGAAAACTGTCAGGCGGCAGACTGAGGAGAAAGTTGTAGCAGCAGCTAAACATGTCGGCTTAAAAACCACAAAAGGTAGAGAATGAGAACAGGGTGTTTTATGGCGAGTGGACCGAGTCATTTGCATTCATTTTACGCGCAGGAAGTACACAGCCAATTGAAAGTAGGCAGTTATTGGCAATACAAACGAAGTGAATATTTCAAAACAGTAATGCACTGTAAAAAAATAAATAAATAAAAATCCCTGGACCCAGGCCTGCAGGCATTTCATTCAGGTGGACCCACTGAAAATTTATATGAAGACCCCTGTATTAGTGTTATGACCAGGGGTCATATGTTTCCTGTTTTTTTTTTCCATCAGCACATTTTGTTTGTGGTTAACCCTCCCTACCTGTGGTAGGTGCTGTTCCTGTGTCTGTTTTGTTTTTCAGGAGAGGACTGTGGCCTGATTGGACAGCAGCTGAAGAGGGAAGCTGTGAAAAGGGTGGCTACTGGAGGAGCTCCTTCTCTCATTCCTTTGTCTCGACTCCCAGCCAGACCCGTGTTTTGTGGAGACTCATTTGGTTTTAGAATACTGAAGACCTTGTGAATTTTGATTTGTCTGTTATGACAAATAGTTTGAGTTATTTTAAGAGCAGTCTGGTAGGTAGGGGTGGGCAGCTATTTCATTTTACAAACTTTTTTCATGTTTTGGTCTAGGGAGGCAGGTAAGATCCCCTGTATTTTATTTTGATACAATTTTTTTTGTTAGGAAAGATAGTTGTTAAATAGAAAGAGGTTTTGTTTTTTATTTTGGCCTGTGCCCACCTTGAAGTTGACTACCAATTTATGTTAAGAAATAAATTCATTTAAGACTGCATTTTCTGGTTGGTTGTCAGTTTTCTTGGGGAGTTGGGGCAAAAGAACGAGCACTTTATGTTACATCCAGCATACCCCCTTGATTTTTTATTGTTGCCGGACTTTGCTTGACCTCCCTTTGAAAAAAAGTATTTTTATTCATGGTTAATTTTTAAATAAAATCTAAGAAAAACAAACAAACAAAAAATTAATAAAATAGTCAAAACTGCCCAGTGTTTACAGTTCATTTCATATGGCTATAGATGGTGTGCAAGTAACCTCCATCAGTTTGGATGAGACCTATCTCCGTTGGCCTTCTATCCTCCTTGCAGGTTAACACCCACATGCCTTTGCTAGTTACTCCTTACTCTCGTAGAATGCTTATACCAGTCTAAATCAGTCTAATTAGTTTAACCAGACAGCCTAGGAAGTGGAGCTCTGTCTGGGTCCCTTTCGGTTCTCCAGAATGAGGCAACTGGCCTAAGAGGTGATCTGGATCTTTCCCTGGACCTTCCCTGTCCTCTCCTGGGTGCTCTCGGGGTCCTCTCTCTTCCAGTGGAAGCTGATGGCTGTTCATCAGAGGATGAAAGAGAAAGAACTCAGAGGCTGACTACAGGAGGCAGTGCAGCAAAGGAGGTCAAAGGAGGAGGGCTTACCTGGGGCTCTTGATGATTATCACCACTGTAATCCAAACAAAGAATAAAATGAATGAATAAAAAGTATTTGTATCATATAATATGTGTTGTAATTTAATTGAATTTTGCACAATTGAATGTAATCCCTCACAGAGAACTAACAACATTATATCAAATTGACAACAGAACATTTGCGTGTATATATATATATATATATATATATATATATATATATATATATACATACATACATACATACATACAATACACATCTACCCTTGAGTTGACAGATGTTTTATTTTACAAATAATGAAAGTTACTTACTCTTCCACTGGGTCAAGTCCCTCCAGGTATGCCATCTCCTCATCTGTCAGGAATGACTCTGCTACTGATTCTGAGTCACTACTAAAAATTATGTCAGCCTCTGTGTCATCTCTTGCTGCTAAAACAAGTGATTAAGCCTCCTCCACAGTCTATACCTTTTTGATAGCATTATAGCTTTCTTGATGAATAAATCAAAGTTGCTCATTCAATCTTCCTAAATCACTCCAACTCCGAGGGTTTTTGGCGCTACTGTGCGTAAAGTCTGCGTGAGGCTTACATAATCTCTTCTTTGCTTGTTTCCAAGCATTGGGTACCATCATTTCTTATTTGGCAGACAAGAAGGGAACTATCTTGTCACTTGTTGATCTTTGGTTGCCTCCTATTGGACACTTCCGTCAAGGGAACAATAGAAGAAGAATATGAGACCACGTAATTGGTCAAAAGTTTGACAGAGAGTGAAGTCATCAAAACAGCTTGTCAAACCCGGAAGACATAGCGGCACTGAGTGATAGCGATCTTTTTTACCACAACAATATTTATAATAATTTTTTCACCGGTACATCACTGCTGTTTTACCATCAAACGTCTCTGGTCAAACACCTGTTTTTGTGGCTGGATTGTAAACCTTATGGCAGGTGTAGAAATGCCTGGAAACCCTTGTTAGATCGCCAAATAGGTAAGCTTCTGAACACTTTTTACCCCATGGAGATACACGTTATAATTCCTGGGAGACTGAAAAATATTACAGTTTTTCTCAGTCGCTTTGGTACATTTCTTTCTCGACGTTTGCAAAACAGTAAGTGCATTTCTCAATACAATTTGTACAAATAGCAAAACACCATGGATTACCTGCAAAAGCCAGTCTCTTGCTCAAAATCCTTAGTACATCTCTCAAAAGTAAATATCTGTGTCAATGAACATGTCAGTGCCATCAGAATGACAAGTCCTTGTGTCATTGTGTACGGATAAGACAGTCAAATTGCTTAGTCATGTTGTCAGTATAACAGTGTACTCTGGAGGGATGTTCTGATGTAAACTATGGCTAAAGTTTTGATGACAATCATTGTAAATTCCTCCTCCTGACTGGTGAGCGTGCGCATTGCTTCATTCCCTTCCTTGCTGTTGAACTGTGTGTAGCGTTTCGTTCCTCCTGAAAGCGCTCTCTTGCTGTTTTGGTTTATTTTCTCTCTGTAATTTATCAGTACTTCTGTTTGTTTAGAAAGTCTGTAAGTATTTCTGATAGTTTTCACCAAGCACCGTTTTTATCTCCACTCTGGGCGATCTCTCTGACCATCTACTTTACTAGCTCCTAGCTTAGCTTCTCTTAGCTACACTTGCTAATGATGGCTTCCCCCCGGTCTCCTGCTCGCTTCTGCTCAGTGTGTCAGATGTTCAGTTACTCCTCGTCCTCCTTAGACGATAACGATACCTGCTTTAAGTGTAGTTTATTCTTAGCTCTGGAGACGAGGATTACAGAGTTAGAAAAGCGGCTCCGCACCGATGCTAGTGTAGCGATAGCCAGCCAGGACACGGTAGCCGGTGCGGATCGGCCTAGCTTAGCTTCCCCCATTTTACAAACTTTTTTCATGTTTTGGGTTAGGGAGGCAGGTAAGATCCCCTGTATTTTATTTTGATACAATTTTTTTTGTTAGGAAAGATAGTTGTTAAATAGAAAGAGGTTTTGTTTTTTATTTTGGCCTGTGCCCACCTTGAAGTTGACTACCAATTTATGTTAAGAAATAAATTCATTTAAGACTGCATTTTCTGGTTGGTTGTCAGTTTTCTTGGGGAGTTGGGGCAAAAGAACGAGCACTTTATGTTACATCCAGCATACCCCCTTGATTTTTTATTGTTGCCGGACTTTGCTTGACCTCCCTTTGAAAAAAAGTATTTTTATTCATGGTTAATTTTTAAATAAAATCTAAGAAAAACAAACAAACAAAAAATTAATAAAATAGTCAAAACTGCCCAGTGTTTACAGTTCATTTCATATGGCTATAGATGGTGTGCAAGTAACCTCCATCAGTTTGGATGAGACCTATCTCCGTTGGCCTTCTATCCTCCTTGCAGGTTAACACCCACATGCCTTTGCTAGTTACTCCTTACTCTCGTAGAATGCTTATACCAGTCTAAATCAGTCTAATTAGTTTAACCAGACAGCCTAGGAAGTGGAGCTCTGTCTGGGTCCCTTTCGGTTCTCCAGAATGAGGCAACTGGCCTAAGAGGTGATCTGGATCTTTCCCTGGACCTTCCCTGTCCTCTCCTGGGTGCTCTCGGGGTCCTCTCTCTTCCAGTGGAAGCTGATGGCTGTTCATCAGAGGATGAAAGAGAAAGAACTCAGAGGCTGACTACAGGAGGCAGTGCAGCAAAGGAGGTCAAAGGAGGAGGGCTTACCTGGGGCTCTTGATGATTATCACCACTGTAATCCAAACAAAGAATAAAATGAATGAATAAAAAGTATTTGTATCATATAATATGTGTTGTAATTTAATTGAATTTTGCACAATTGAATGTAATCCCTCACAGAGAACTAACAACATTATATCAAATTGACAACAGAACATTTGCGTGTATATATATATATATATATATATATATATATATATATATACATACATACATACATACATACAATACACATCTACCCTTGAGTTGACAGATGTTTTATTTTACAAATAATGAAAGTTACTTACTCTTCCACTGGGTCAAGTCCCTCCAGGTATGCCATCTCCTCATCTGTCAGGAATGACTCTGCTACTGATTCTGAGTCACTACTAAAAATTATGTCAGCCTCTGTGTCATCTCTTGCTGCTAAAACAAGTGATTAAGCCTCCTCCACAGTCTATACCTTTTTGATAGCATTATAGCTTTCTTGATGAATAAATCAAAGTTGCTCATTCAATCTTCCTAAATCACTCCAACTCCGAGGGTTTTTGGCGCTACTGTGCGTAAAGTCTGCGTGAGGCTTACATAATCTCTTCTTTGCTTGTTTCCAAGCATTGGGTACCATCATTTCTTATTTGGCAGACAAGAAGGGAACTATCTTGTCACTTGTTGATCTTTGGTTGCCTCCTATTGGACACTTCCGTCAAGGGAACAATAGAAGAAGAATATGAGACCACGTAATTGGTCAAAAGTTTGACAGAGAGTGAAGTCATCAAAACAGCTTGTCAAACCCGGAAGACATAGCGGCACTGAGTGATAGCGATCTTTTTTACCACAACAATATTTATAATAATTTTTTCACCGGTACATCACTGCTGTTTTACCATCAAACGTCTCTGGTCAAACACCTGTTTTTGTGGCTGGATTGTAAACCTTATGGCAGGTGTAGAAATGCCTGGAAACCCTTGTTAGATCGCCAAATAGGTAAGCTTCTGAACACTTTTTACCCCATGGAGATACACGTTATAATTCCTGGGAGACTGAAAAATATTACAGTTTTTCTCAGTCGCTTTGGTACATTTCTTTCTCGACGTTTGCAAAACAGTAAGTGCATTTCTCAATACAATTTGTACAAATAGCAAAACACCATGGATTACCTGCAAAAGCCAGTCTCTTGCTCAAAATCCTTAGTACATCTCTCAAAAGTAAATATCTGTGTCAATGAACATGTCAGTGCCATCAGAATGACAAGTCCTTGTGTCATTGTGTACGGATAAGACAGTCAAATTGCTTAGTCATGTTGTCAGTATAACAGTGTACTCTGGAGGGATGTTCTGATGTAAACTATGGCTAAAGTTTTGATGACAATCATTGTAAATTCCTCCTCCTGACTGGTGAGCGTGCGCATTGCTTCATTCCCTTCCTTGCTGTTGAACTGTGTGTAGCGTTTCGTTCCTCCTGAAAGCGCTCTCTTGCTGTTTTGGTTTATTTTCTCTCTGTAATTTATCAGTACTTCTGTTTGTTTAGAAAGTCTGTAAGTATTTCTGATAGTTTTCACCAAGCACCGTTTTTATCTCCACTCTGGGCGATCTCTCTGACCATCTACTTTACTAGCTCCTAGCTTAGCTTCTCTTAGCTACACTTGCTAATGATGGCTTCCCCCCGGTCTCCTGCTCGCTTCTGCTCAGTGTGTCAGATGTTCAGTTACTCCTCGTCCTCCTTAGACGATAACGATACCTGCTTTAAGTGTAGTTTATTCTTAGCTCTGGAGACGAGGATTACAGAGTTAGAAAAGCGGCTCCGCACCGATGCTAGTGTAGCGATAGCCAGCCAGGACACGGTAGCCGGTGCGGATCGGCCTAGCTTAGCTTCCCCCCTGGCGAATCCCGAGCAGCCGGGATGTAGTAGTGGTTGGGTCACTGTGAAAGGGAAGCATAGCAGTAGACCTAAGAAGCCCACGGTAGACCACCACATTCACATTTCAAACAAATTTGCCCCTCTCAGCAACACACCTGCTGAGCCTGACGCTCTTGTGATTGGAGACTCTGTAGTCCGAAATGTGAAATTAGCGAAGTCAGCGGCCATAGTTCAGTGTCTCCCGGGGGCCAGAGCGGGCGACATCGAAGGTAGTTTAAAACTGCTGGCAAAGGCTAAACGTAAATTCCGTAAGATTGTAATACATGTCGGCGTTAATGACTCCCGACGCCGCCAGTCGGAAGTCACTAAATTGAACGTGGAATCGGTGTGTGAATATGCCAAAACCATGTCGGACTCTGTAGTTTTCTCTGGTCCCCTGCCCAATCAGACAACTGATGAGATGTGTAGCCGTATCTCATCATTCAACTGCTGGCTGTCGAGGTGGTGTCCGCAAAACGGCGTGAGCTTCATTGATAATTGGAAGTCATTTTGGGGCAAGCCTGGTCTGATTAGTCGGGACGGCATTCATCCCACCCGAGATGGAGCAACCCGTTTATCCAGAAATCTGGCCGATTTTATTAATCCGAACCACTGACAATTCAAAGCAGAGATCAGGGAGCAGGGCCGCAGTCTTACACGCCCCCCTGCGCCTCTTTTAGAGCAGCCTCCCAGCCACTACCACTTATACACAGAGACAAGGGAGCAGAGCCGCAGTGTAAAACGCCCTTCTGTACTCCCTTCAGAGCAGCTTCCAAGCTACAATCAGCTTGACATAGAAATCAGGGAGCAGAGCCACAGTGTAAAACGCCCCTCTGTACTCCCTTCAGAGCAGCTTCTAAGCTACTCTCAGCTTGACATAGAAATCAGGGAGCAGAGCCACAGTGTAAAACGTCCCTCTGTACTCCCTTCAGAGCAGCTTCCTAGCTACAATCAGCTTGACATAGAAATCAGGGAGCAGAGCCACAGCTCTACACGTTCCTCTGTACTTTTGTTAGAGCAGCCTCCTAGCTACTGTCACTTTAATATAGAGACTGTGTCTGTCCCTCGTACTCGGCTCTAAAATTCTAACCGATCAATTAAAAAAGGAGTAAATAACAAGAACCTTACTAGAATTAAGACTGTTAACATAGCTGAACCAAGTACTAGTAAGATAAAATGTGGTCTACTGAATATAAGGTCTCTAAATTCAAAATCTGTGTTAATAAATGAACTAATCTCTGATCATCGCATTGATTTACTCTCCCTAACCGAAACATGGCTGCGTAAGGATGAATATGTAAGTTTAAATGAATCCACTCCTCCTAGCCACCTAAACTTTCACATTCCTCGAGACTCTGGCCGAGGTGGTGGAGTTGCAGCTATCTACAATTCCAGTCTTAGAATTAACCCAAGACCAAAACTAGATTATAACTCTTTTGAAAGTCTCGTTCTCAGTCTCCCGCATCCAGCCTCAAAGTCCATGAGACCACTGGTATTTGCTATAGTTTACCGCCCTCCGAGCCCATACTCTGAGTTTTTGTCAGAGTTCTCAGAGTTCCTATCTGAATTAGTCCTTCCCGCAGATAAAGTCATCGTCGTCGGTGACTTTAATATTCACGTAGATGTAGAAAATGATAGCCTAAGCATTTCTTTTCGGTCCTTGCTAGATTCAATTGGGTTTACACAGTGTGTACACAGACCTACGCACTGCTTTAACCACACTCTCGATCTCGTCCTGGCTTATGGCCTCGAAACTGAAGCCCTGTTAGTCAGCTCATTAAATCCTCTATTATCTGATCACTGTCTAGTAACTTTTGAATTTGTGCTTTCAGGTTACTCTCCTCACAACAAAGCCGTGCTAACTAGAAAGTTGTCTGAAAATGCTGTTACTAAGTTCAAGGAGGTAATTCCGTCTGCTCTAAATTCTGTAGTTGAGAAAAACTTCACTGATAGCTCATATTTAAACATCAGTCCCTTGCAACTCGACCAGTTTGTTGATGATACCTCAGGCACACTGCGATCAGTTCTAGACTCAGTTGCCCCTCTTCGACAAAAAACTCTTACACGCGAGAGGCTAGCCCCGTGGTATAATGCTGAAACCCGTGAGCTGAAACAGTTATTAAGAAAATGTGAAAGGATTTGGCGCTCCTCCAAAACAGCTGAAGCTCGTTTTCTCTGGCAGGAATGTCTCGATAAATATAAGAAAGCCCTACGACATGCTCGGACAACCTACTACTCGTCTCTTATTGAGGAAAATAAGAATAACCCCAGATATCTCTTCAGCACTGTAGCCAGGCTGACAGACTGTCAGAGCACCACTGAACCATGTATCCCATTAGCCCTTAGCAGCAATGACTTCCTGAGCTTCTTCAATGATAAAATCTTAAAAATAAGAGGTAAAATTAGTAACCTATTGACTCCATCAAGTGTCTCTCTCTCAGATAACCCTAAAAATGTTGAGGAGCCCCTAAGGCCTCTGGTGCACCTTAGTAATTTTGTACCTATTGACCTTCCTGAGTTAAAGTCAGTGGTGCTAGCAGCCAAACCATCGACGTGTCTCTTAGACCCAATTCCATCAAAATTGCTGAAGGAAACTCTTCCTTTGATTAGTACGTCCCTGCTCAAATTGATTAACACGTCTTTATTAACAGGATATGTTCCCCAGTCTTTCAAGACTGCATTGATTAAGCCTCTCCTTAAAAAACCTACTCTGGACTCAAGCTCCCTAGCTAACTATAGACCAATATCCAACCTTCCTTTTATTTCTAAAATCCTAGAGAAAGTTGTTGCGAATCAACTCTGTGATTTTCTCCATAACAACGGTTTATTCGAGGATTTCCAGTCTGGGTTTAGAACCCATCACAGCACAGAGACTGCTCTGCTAAAGGTGTCAAATGACCTACTCATGGCCTCGGACAATGGTCTTCTCTCTGTTCTAGTCCTGTTAGATCTTAGTGCAGCATTTGACACAATTGACCACTCCATCCTGCTTCAGAGACTAGAACAATCTATAGGCATAGCAGGATCAGCTCTCTCCTGGTTTAAATCATACCTAACAGATCGATCCCAGTTTGTCAATGTAAATAATGAATCCTCTGCACACACCAAGGTCTGCTACGGTGTGCCGCAAGGGTCAGTGCTCGGTCCAATCCTATTCACCCTGTACATGATTCCGCTGGGTAAAATTATGAGGAAGTACTCGATTAATTTCCACTGTTATGCAGAGGACACCCAGCTATACCTATCCATAAAGCCAGAGGAAGCAGGCCAGGTTGCTAGGTTAGAAGACTGCCTCAAAGATATAAAATCCTGGATGACCAATAACTTTCTAATGCTCAACTCAGACAAAACTGAAGTTCTGGTCCTCGGTCCTAAACACCTTAGAGAGGCGTTCTCTAGTAATTTAGCTACATTTGATGGTATCAGCCTGGCATCCAGCCCCACTGTGCGAAATCTAGGAGTTGTATTTGATCAGGATTTATCTTTTAGCTCCCACATTCAACAAATTTCCAGGACAGCCTTTTTCCAGCTGCGCAATATCTCAAAAATTAGACGTATATTGTCTCAGAGCGATGCAGAAAAACTAGTCCATGCCTTTGTTACCTCTAGGCTGGATTACTGTAATTCTCTCCTATCAGGCTGCTCTAGTAAGTCATTAAGGACTCTTCAGATGGTCCAAAATGCAGCAGCTCGGGTATTGACTAGAACTAGAAGGAGGGAGCACATTTCTCCTGTTTTAGCCTCTCTTCACTGGCTCCCTATTAAATATAGAATTGAGTTTAAAATCCTCCTTGTGACATATAAAGCGCTTAATGGCCAGGCGCCATCATATCTCAACGAGCTAGTTATACCGTACTTTCCATCTAGACCGTTACGCTCACAGTCTGCAGGTCTGCTCGTTGTACCAAATGTCTCTAAAAGTAGTATTGGAGGAAGAGCTTTCAGCTACCAGGCACCTCTCCTCTGGAATCATTTACCGCTCGAGGTTCAGGGGGCAGACACACTCTCAACTTTCAAGAGTAGACTTAAAACGTTCCTCTTTGATAAAGCCTATAGTCAGGGCTGATTTGAACCAGCTCTTAGTTATGCTGCTATAGGCCTAGACTGCCGGGGCTATCTGGCACACTGAGCTAGAGTCTGTCTCTATCTCCTCTTTAGTCACTGACCAGTTTTCTGTCTCTCTGAGTGTCTCTGAGTCTTTTAGCTGCCACTGGACTAATGCTGCAAACAGGTCTGCTGCGGAACTGCCTGACCCCAGCTGCATCCACCCTGGGCCCTGAGCTCAACTCTTTGGCTCTTTGGCTCCTCTGGACCGTTGCCGCAGACCCCCCCCGGCCCTGAGCTCCTTCTTCTCTCTGATTCCTCTGGGCTGTTGCTGTTACTGTTACTGCAGACATGAACATCAGCCTCACTGTCATTATTGACATTAATAATACAAAATAGAACTGACTACGATTAAGCCTGCTAACTGTAATCACACTCAATTAATTCAACATTGTCCATTATCACTCATATCCTAAACCTGTAAACTGAACTTTTTGTTTCACCATTACATGAGCTGTTGTTGTTGTTGTTCCTGCTGCCTCCTGTCTCTCTCTCACCCTCGTTCCCTACTCTCTCTCCCTCCCCCTCCCTCTCCATACTCATTCTCTCTCGCCTTTCCCCCATCTTGTTGTCTCTCTCCCTCCCCCTGTCCTCTCCCCCTCTCCCCTCTTCTCTCTACATTCCTCCCCAACCCAGCAGCGGCATGGTGGCTGTCTAGCATGAGGCTGGTCCTGCCCAAGGTTTCTGCCTGTTAAAAGGAAGTTTTTCCTTGCCACTGTAACTCATGTTAGTTGAGATGGGCCAAAACCCATCTTAGGTTGGTTCTTGATCATCAAACAATGAGCGTGGTCCAGACCTGCTCTTGTTCCTTGAAAAGCGTCTTGAGATGACGACTGTTGTGAATTGGCGCTATATAAATAAAATTTGATTTGATTTGATTTGATAAATTGTAAGTTACACCTCAGTGTATGTGGGAGATTGATTGCAAGAGACTGTAATTGATGACAGACCATGTTATTGCGATACAGAAAAGAAAAAGACAGCACTGCAGAGCACAATAAAAAAACTAAAAAACAAAAGTAGAAATGTGAACATAGGACAATTTCCTTAGGGAAAACTGTAAATGTAGTGCTGTAGGAATTACAGTACACTCTTCCTACACCTCCTGACATTCCTGTCTGTTGGGCCACAAATTCTCATCCAAATCACAACGAATATCTTCTCTTGCGATGCAGCGTGAAAAGAATCTTTTACTGTGTCTTATCCAGCCTCTGCAGGCATCTGCTGTGATGCCATCACATGCTGCATCCATGGCAGCCAGAAGGGTCATCTGTGTATGTGGCTGGTGATCATATACTTTCCATCTCCATGCTGAGAAAAATTCCTCAATGGGGTTAAGGAATGGGGAATAGGGTGGGAGGAACTACATCAGCATCCTGTTGTGGGTGCCAAACCATTGCCTGATGATGTTGGAGTGATGGAAACTGACATTGTCCAAAACTATCACATACTTTGGCAAGTCATCTCCAATCTGACCCCTCTCTTGTTCAGGGATGAGATCCCTGTAGAGAGTGTCTAAAAAGGTGACAAGATGCTCTGTATTGTATGGACCAATAATGGGAATATGCGTTAGCACACCATTCTCAGAGATAGCAGCACCCATGGTTATGTTCCCGCCCCGTTGGCCTGGCACATCAACTGTAGCTCTGTGGCCGATGATATTTCGACTATGCCTTCTGCGTTTGGGTAGGTTGAAGCCAGCCTTATCCATGTAGATGAAGTTGTGCGGTGGTTCACTTGCTTCCAGTTCCATCATACGCTATATAATAATAATAATAATAATAATAATAATAATAATAATAAATTTTATTTGAAAGCGCCCTTCAAAGCACCCAGGGTCACTGTACAATATTAAAAGCAAGACATTCATAATAAAACAATAAATAAAACAATAAGCAATTTAAACAGATAAAAACCGACACAGGGAATGGATAAAACAGTTACAGGGAGTATGCGGAGCGAAACAGGTGGGTTTTGAGTAGTGTTTTGAAAGAGAGAAAGGAGTCAGTGTTTCTGAGATCGGGTGGTAGTGAGTTCCAGAGCTGGGGGGCAGAGCGACTGAAGGCTCTGCCCCCCATTGTATTGAGGCGGGCAGGGGGGACAGAGAGGTGGATGGAGGAGGAGGACCGGAGGGAGCAAGTGGGGGTGATGACGTGCAGGAGGTCGGACAGGTAGGGGGGGCAAGGTTATGGATGGCCATGTATGCGAACAGGAGGAGTTTGTAGATGATCCGGTCTTTGATGGGGAGCCAGTGGAGGTGCTGGAGGACGGGGGTGATGTGGTGATGTGTGGGGGTCTTTGTAATGATGCGGGCAGCTGAGTTTTGGACCAGTTGGAGTTTATGGAGAGATTTCTGGGGGAAGCCGAAAAGGAGGGAGTTGCAATAGTCCAGGCGGGAGGTGACAAGGCTGTGAACAAGGACGGCGGTGGAGTGGGGAGTGAGGGAGGGGCGGAGTCTGTTGATGTTGCGGAGGTGGAAGTAAGCGGTGCGAGTAATGATGTTGATGTGGGAATGAAAGGAGAGTGAACTGTCGAGGATGACACCCAGACTCTTTATCTGGGGGGAGGGGGAAACTGGGGAGCTGTCAATGGTGAGGGAGAAACTTTGGATTTTGGAGAGGGTGGATTTTGTGCCAAGGAGGAGGATTTCAGTTTTATTGCAGTTTAGTTTGAGAAAGTTTGAGGTAAACCAGATTTTTAATTCAGTGAGACAGGAGGTGAGGGAGGGGGGTGGTAGTGAGGACGTGGGTTTGCAGGAGAGGTAGAGCTGGGTGTCATCCGCGTAGCAGTGGAAATGGATGTCGAATTTGCGGAGGATGTGGCCGAGGGGGAGGAGGTAGATGATGAAGAGAAGGGGCCCCAGGACAGATCCCTGGGGCACACCTGAGGTGACTGGGGAGGGTTTAGATGCGAATGATTTAAGCTGTACGAACTGAGTGCGGCCTGTGAGGTATGAATGAAACCAGCTGAGGGGGGTGTCAGAGAGGCCAATGGAGGAGAGTCTGCTGAGGAGGATGGGGTGAGAAATGGTGTCAAAGGCTGCACTCAGATCGAGGAGGATGAGGATGGAAATGGAACCGGAGTCAGCTGCGATGAGGAGGTCGTTTGTTATATGGAGTAATGCAGTTTCTGTACTATGGCGGGGGCGGAATCCTGATTGGAACGGTTTGTAAAGAGAGTTAAGGGATAGGTGACGATGGAGTTGAGCGGCGACAGTTTTTTCCAGGATTTTGGAAAGGAATGGTAAGTTGGAGATGGGGCGGAGGTTATCATAGTTGTTGGGGTCTGATCCAGGTTTCTTTGGTATGGGGGTGACAGCGGCAGTTTTGAAAGCTGAGGGAACTATTCCAGGCGAAAGAGAGGAGTGGATGATAGAGGATATGAGGGGGACCAGGGAGGAAGAGCAGGATTTAACTAAGGTCGAGGGGAGGGGATTGAGCTGACATGTGGCGGGTTTTGATTTGTGGATGAGGTCTGAGATATCGGTGGTAGTGGGGAGAGGAAAACTGGAGAAAAGGTGGCAGGGAAGAGGAGGTTCAGGTCGGGGGAGAGGAGGCTGGTTATGGTGCAATTGCTGGTGAATGTTGTGGATCTTTTGGTTGAAGACGTCCATTATGGAATTGCAGTTTTCAGAAGAGTACAGGTGGGGGGGTAGAGAGTTTGATGGCTGGAGGATTTTGTTAAAGACAGAGAAGAGAGATTTTGTGTTTCCTTCATTGGAGAGAATGAGGCTGGAGTAGTAGTTGGATTTGGTTTGAGAGATTAGGTCCTTATATTGTGTGATGTGAGTGGTGTACATGTCCTTATGGATGGTGAGACCGGTGCGTTTGTAGAGTCACTCAAGCTGTCGGTCTTGGGATTTCTTGGTCCTGAGCTCGGGAGTAAACCAGGGGGCAGAGGCAGAAAATGACACGGACCAGGTTTTCAGGGGGGCAAGAGAGTTAAGAGTGCTTGTGAGGCAAGTGTTGTAATAGGAGACCGGTTCATCAGGGTTTGAGGGAGAGTCCGGGATCGGAAAACTGTCAAAAGTGGAGCGCAGGGTATTGATGTTAATGTCCTTGATGTTGCGAAAGGAGATGAGGCGGGGGGATTTGATGGTGGAGAGGCAGAGGACGGTGTTAAAAGTGAGGAGCAAGTGGTCAGATAGCGGGAAGACATCTGCAGTGGGCTTGGATGGGGTGAGACCGGAGCAGCAGACCAAGTCCAGGGTGTGACCTTTGATGTGGGTGGGGAAATCGATGTGGGGTTTAATTCCAAAACTGTCCAGGCAGGATGCAAAGTCTCTAGTGAGAGGCAGGTTGGGATTGTCCATGTGAATGTTGAAATCACCCAGCAGAATTAAATTTGGTGATAGAGTTGATAGATCCGTGAGAAGAGTAGAGAGTTCTCCAATAAAGTCACCATGAGTCTTGGGGGGGCGGTAAACTGTCGCGATGATGGTAGGTGTAGGACCAGGAAGCTTAAAAACAAGGCATTCAAATGAGTTGAATGCGGGAACGGAGATCGGCAGGACTTTCCACTTCTCGCGGTGAATTACCGCGAGACCTCCACTGCGGCCATTGCCACAGGGACGGCTGATGTAAACAAAGCCGGGAGGAGTGGAATCATTGAGAGCAGAGAAGTCAGTGGGTTATTGCCAGGTTTCAGTTAAAAAGAGAAAGTCGAGCTTACGGTCGATGAGGAGATCTTGGACGAGATGACCTTTGCTCGTGAGTGAACGGATGTTCAGCAGACCGAAGTTGACAGCGGAGGTGTCATGTTTGATAGAAGTAGCGTTAGCCGACCTAGCTAGGCGGGCTAGTGAGCTGTGGTTGACGGCGCGGCCGGAGTTTCTGGAGGGGCGACGAGAGGTAGATCGTGTAGCATTGATGGCGCTGGAGCCACAATGCTGGATGTGTCTGCGGGACCCACGGTGGATGTAGCGCCGGCGAGGTACTCAGGTGATGTCCGGGTGATGATGCAGCTCCGGCGGCGGAGACCTCGGTGCAGTCCGGCAGATCCGAAAAAGGTCGGCGACAGGGTATTGGAATAGTCCAGCCACAGGATGATGGTAGAGCGACAGCAGTATCCAGATGAGCCCAGACCAGATGAGAACATTGTTGGGCCACATGACGGGGAAGGAACCGGCGAGCTTTTGAAAGCTGGCGTTTTGACAGCCGGTTAGCATTAGCAGCCGGGGCTTAGCCCGTGCACTTGTGGACAAAAGTGCCGGAGTTATTTGTGGGAGAGAAACTGTTTTGGCTGTCACAGGCAGGGAAATGGATAGTCGGCTTCTCATGTAGAATCACGGGCCATAAAAGCGATAAAAAAGAAGATATACACAACTTTTTCTGCCGGTGAGCAGCGGCAACATACATGCCAGCGTCCACCCACCGGAAGAATCCAGAAGACACAAAATGAGTTTTATGAATTACATGCATTTTCATTTTGGACAAGATACAGTTACACCAAATGTATATTGCACATACTGCATCTTCTTTTCTACAGCCATAGCAAATGTGTAAAGGTCACATTTACTGCACTGTATATCACTATACAATGTAGTACTGTTTACTGTGAGGTACAGTTACTGCATGCTCATACATGTTTTACCTGTAACATACTGGTAGCGCAGCTCCTTCACTCTTTTACCATTTCTTTCAAATGGAACAGTGTACAGCTGCTTCATATTTATTTGACGTCTTTTCAACACCCTGTCAATGTTTGAAATGCTGACTGTTTGGATGTTTTCAAATATGTTGTTGCCCTCTATCATGGCACTCTTTATCTCCCTTAGTCTTATGGCATTGTTTTGTACAACCATGGTACAAATAGCCCCCTCCTGTTCAGGTGTGAAAAGGGGCCCTCTGCCACCCCTGTGAAGTTGTCTTGCATTACTATATTTTTTCCTACATAGGACTGCAAAACACAAAATTGAGTAAGATGAAATGTCACTATATATAGTATACTTACTGTATATTGTAAAATGTAAGTCGAATACTGTAATATTGTATGAAGCATTACAGAAAGTATACAGTATTACAGTACAGTGCCTATTGTTAGATTACATACCTGTTCTGTCAACGAAAAGTCTGAATGATTGAGGACACAGTTGTTCTCCCAACATTTGGCTGCACCCTTCGACCAGCCTCAGCCATTGTAAGCCCATGATTGAGAACATGGTCTACAAGTGTAGCTCTTATCTCATCAGGAACGCGCATATGTCCTCTGCCTCTTCTGCCTCTTCCTCTGTTTTGCCTCCCAACTCCTCCGCCACGCAGCCTCACTCTTCTTCCTCTTCTTCTCTCTGGCTGTTGACCCCGTCCAATTCCTTGTCCTTCCATTGTCAGACATTGTAACATTGTGTTGTGCTCCGGCAATATATATACTTGCCAGTTGATGGTTCATGAGATGCACCTTTGAGCTATTTCAGAAAACTGGTTGATCATTGGTTGATCTAATGCTTCACACATTTCCCACCGTTAGAGAAAGTCAAGATTCACCTGGGAGCAATTTACCAATTCAGGACAGATTCAGAAATGTCTAACTGTGAGTGTTGTGTGGTGGTGGTCGGAGAGGCCGTAGGCGCAGAATGGCAGCCACGTCTCCACCACCACCAAAGTGTGACTGTGTGAGCGAATGAATGATGTATCCAATGTAAAGCGCTTTGAGGGTCTCTGATAAAGCGCTATATGAAATCTGATGCATTATTATTATTATTATTAGAAATTTATAGAAATATGCATGACATATTATGACAGCTTGTTCAACCATTTTGCATGTAAAGACTTATGCGATGAACTAATGCCTAAATGTTGTGGGGGGTGAGACTATTCAACAGAGACCCATTATAATACATTTTGATCAACATGACATAAGCAATTGATAATGTAGGAAACAGCAGAAAACTGTTGGACTATTTGCTCACGCAGTTGTTCACAAAGTGGTGAACCTCGCCCCATCCTTGCTTGTGAATGACTGAGAATTTTTGGGGAAGCTGCTTTTATACCTAATCATGGCATCCACCTGTTCCCATTAGCCTGCTCACCTGTGGGATGTTCCAAATAGGTGTTTGATGAGCATTCCTCAAATTTCTCAGTATTTTTTGCCATCTTTCCCAACTTCTTTGTCACGTGTTGCAGCCATGAAATTCTGAGTTAATTATTTGCCAAAAAATTTAAAGTTTATGAGTTTGACCATTAATTATCTTGTCTTATTTACAATTTCCCAACTTCAGTGGAATTGGGTTTTGTAGATACTTACAAATCAGACATTGTGTCACAAATAATACAGAAAATATACAAAAGGAATCTACAGATATAGAAAACAATTTCAGACATCTGTTTAAACACCGTTCGTTGACAAAAACAAGTAATATCCCACATGTACAAAAACTTAATGATGGATACGTCAGACAATACACTAAACATCAAGAAACAATGGGAACTGGAGCTGAATGCATGTACTTCAAAAGTACTTTTGAAGTATAAAGGAAACGTTGAAAGGGCTCAGGATAAAAAGCCTGGAATACTTCACAGGGAAACCAGCAACAAAATTTCAGGGTGCATAGGTAGAAATTATTTGTCAACCCTAGGATCCAGGACATGCAGGTATGTCCAAATGATTCTCCCATGAAGCTAAGATCATTCATATTCTGGATATAGGTGCAAATAGAAAGGAAATGCAATAGAAAACTGAGCAAAAATGAGCTATTCTAGCCATTTTTCATATAAATATGGGATAACATACAGATGAAAAAACTCAAAAAAGCATTATGCACTATGAGGAAGTAATATTTTACACAAGCAGGCAAGTGGGGCTGACTCCAGATGAGGTCAGGACTGTATAATATGCCAAATGTGGTGATTTTTGAACTAACGTACCACACATTTTGACTGATTACTCAAAAAGTTATGGAATGCCCATCCTGAAACTTGCAGGGATGCTAGTGGACATGATAGTCTTTCTTTAGTGTGAATATGAAGAAAATTGAAGGACCCGTGTTTTTTGCTATTTCCAATCTAAGATTTTGGTCTTTTATAATTTTTTAACCCAAAGTTAAAACAAAAACACACAGGGAGGCGGCTTTCAGTTTTTATGGTCCCCGGTTGTGGAACAGCCTGCCGGAGAGCCTCAGGGCCACAAAGACTGTTGATGTTTTTAAGAAGAGGCGCAAGACTCACCTTTTAAACCAGGCTATTCACTGATTGTCTTCTCTTATGTCTCTTAATTCTAATCTTCATTTTAATCAATGTTCTTATGTTTATTATATGTAATGTTTATTTTATGCATTTTTACCAATTGTGTTTATCAACTCATTGACGTTGTTTTACTATTCCTATATATTTTTTCTCTCTTAGTCTTTTTCTTAATTCCCTGCAATGAGGTTTTTACGTCTTTCACCTCTCTTCATGGTAAAGAGCGCTTATTTGTTTGTTCATTTTATATTATGTTCTTGTCTTAGACCATCAGGTTTTAGGCTTTCTGTTCATCATTTTTTATCTTTTTATCTCCAGTTTTTCCCCAAAGGCAGCTCTTTCCTCACACGATGTCTTGGTGTCAAGCCATGTCTCTTAAGCATAACATCTTATATGCTTGCTATGTGTGCGCTTGTGTCCGTGCGCTTTTGAGAGGGTGGGCGTGTGTGTCTTTGTGTGTGTTTGTGTGGGTCTTTGGGTGTATGTGTGGGTGGGACGGTTGGGTTTTATTGTTTTTTTTTTAGCCTCCGTGAAGCACTTTGAATTACATTCTTGTACGAAAAGTGCCATATCAATAAAGTTGAATTAGAATTTAGTCTTTCACAGTGTGATACATAGTCTGAGAAATAACCCCTGCTGCCTTCCCTGGATTTTACGTGAGTATAGTGCTGTTTTGAAGGGGCTGTTTTGCGTGTACAATTGCCTCTGTACAAAGCCAAAAGTTTTGTGGTAATTCAGAAAACAAAATGTTTTATGTCTACTCTAAATTTACAGTGTGCTGTAGCTTCTAAATCTGCTTTAGATAAGATTCAAATACAAAAAGTAATTAATATTGGGTGTCCAGAAGGGACCAAAGCAAACCTATGGAGCCAGATCAGGCTCAAAAGTATTGATTGTTTACCAAAAGTAGTGTAAGTGAAAAAATAAAAGGTGAAGTGGAAAAATAAGATTTGAACCTGAAAAAAATAAAATGGTACCTGAAAGTCTTGAATTTCGAAATTGAACTTTGCAAAATCCCAGAATGCATGAGAAAAATTTGTTCAAATGTAACTTTGATTCTGTTTTTTAATACTTTTGAATAAATTACTTATTTCTATTTTTCACTTCAATTTATATTTTGATCTTGGAGTACTTTTTTTTTTTCGATTGAATTTTATTTATTTATTTCAGATTCAGATCTTATTTTTACGGATTCAAAACTTTTTTTTCGGTTTTAGATTATTTTTCAGATTCAGATCTTTTTTCGGATTCAACTTGAAAAGTTTCAGGTTCACTTTTCACCCTAGTTTTCTGTGGGGGCAGGCCTCGACTGAGAGGGGCGCAGTCTGCCATGAGTGACAGGTCTCCCCCTCCTTCCCCACCCCATCACCCTGCGTTGGACCAATAGGAGCCGAGTCTCGTTGCCATAGTATCAGAAATACACAAACATGGCGATGACCGCATCTCGCAGCGAGACAAGCGAAGAGGAAGAAAAGAAAAGGAAAAAAGAAAACAGCCTCCAAAAGTGCATAAAAAAGGAACGAAACAATGCTATATGCATCTATCATCCAGAGTGAAGACGTTCTCGACTTTACATGGACAAGTTGGGAAACTTAAAGAACTAGTATTAGAGAGTGGCTTTCTCTACAGGGTGAGACAAAGGACCTTGCAGAAACTTATAAACTTTGCGTTGATATCAACATTGACAATGTTCCTGATGTCGCTGGGTTTCACATGACATGCTTCAAGCGATTTATTTGCAAAAGGCGTTTGAGAAACAAGAACGTGATGCAGCCGCAGGTCAGCCAAACCCCTCAGGCAGCATCGCCGATGCATCCACTAATTCACTTATGCGTATACTAAGGCACCAATAACTCTTTCAGATGTTTGGTAGATGTATTTATGACATTTGAGAAAGATTTTGTCTTTCCAGAATCAACATAGCAGTTTCTACAAGCAAAAACAGCAGCATCATATAATTGTTTTTTTGGGTTACTCACAAATATGTACATTTCTGGCTGGTGACAAAAGTCTGACAGTTAGTCTGAGTACATATTTTAACCCAAAGTCCAGAATGCTATTGTCTATGCAAAAATGCATTGAACAAGTAGCACCAGCGTATTTGAACGAAATTCACTTTCTAGGCACTCTTTCCTTTGTTCCAATACAGCCTATGACCTCGAGCGAAGTTTCTTTCGCAGAGTTCCAGGTGCCGTGGACATGGATGCATCGGCGATGCTGCTTTAAGGGCTCAAAGGCCTTTTGCAAATAAATCGCTGTTAGCATGGCATGTTAAACCCAGTGTCATCAGGAACTTTGACAAAGTTGATATCAACGCAATGTTTATACGTTTCTGCAAGGTCTTTTGTCTCACCCTGTAGAGAAAGCCACTTTCTAATACTAGTTCTTTAAGTTTCCCAACGTGTTCTTGTAAAGTGGAGAACGTCTTCACTCTGGACAGATGACAGATGCATATAGCATCGTTTCGTTCCATTTTTTTGCACTTTTGAAGGCTGTTTTCTTCCTTTCTTTTCTTCCTCTTCGCTTGTCTCGCTGCTAGATGCGGTCATCGCCATGTTGACACATGACAAAAATCGCTTCACCACCTGCATATTCGATTGTGCGTGTGCAAGTATCACTACGCCGCAGAAAGGAAATAGTTCGACACCGAAATACTGATTACTACAAATCGACAGGATGGCATGAGTAGATTTTTTTTTTAGTACTTACTATCAATAGAGCTATTTTATGAATCACAGTTTATGTTGCCCCACTAAAGTGGAATGAACCAACACGATCTCATTCAGCCAATACAGCCTAATCGTAGGCTAAGCTAATGTGTATTCATGCCACGTCCTGAACGCAGGGTGATGGGGTGGGGAAGGAGGGGGAGACCTGTCACTCATGGCAGACTGCGCCCCTCTCAGTCGAGGCCTGCCCCCACAGAAAACTAGGGTGAAAAGTGAACCTGAAACTTTTCAAGTTGAATCCGAAAAAAGATCTGAATCTGAAAAATAATCTGAAACCGAAAAAAAAAAAAACGTTTTGAATCTGTAAAAATAAGATCTGACTCTGAAATAAATAAAATTCAATCGAAAAAAAAAACTACTCCAAGATCGAAATATACATTGAAGTGAAAAATAGAAATAAGTAATTTATTCAAAAGTATTAAAAAACAGAATCAAAGTTACATTTGAACAGATTTTTCTCATGCATTCTGGGATTTTTCAAAGTTCAATTTCGAAATTCAAGACTGTCAGGTTCCATTTTATTTTTTTCAGGTTCAAATCTTATTTTTCCTCTTCACTTTTTATTTTTTCACCTACACTCTTTTTGGTAAACAATCAATACTTTTGAGCCTGATCTGTCTCCATACAAACCTGCAGTCCTAGAAATCTTCAACCTGTTTCACACTGACACATTTCCCAAACATTGTTTTTTCATTTCATCATTACTTTATCATTATCATTTCCTTGAAGTAATAATCAGCTCTGTATCTTTGATGGTAGATCTGAATGATATTAAGACAATTAATATTCTGCATTATTGAAATTATCTTAGAATTATTAAAATATTTCAACATATTTAAAGCAGTGTATGTCCCTATATTTGATACTATATACAAGTAAAACAAGCAGTAGACTTTAAAATCAGCCTCTTTTGTGGGATGCAAAATGATAGTCCTTCATTACCGTAATGTCTGTCACACACACTGTAAGATTAATAAGTAAATTCCAGAAAGTCAGAGATTCAGTAGTCAGTGTTTCACTAGACCTGCTCCAAACTCCTCAAGCTTTCACCCAGCTTTTCACCCAGAGTTAACCCTGAAGTGACTGAAAATCCTACTGCAGGCCCTTGGATATAAACTCATAGCAGTGCTTGTCTAAAATAACACAATTTTCCCAGCTTTTAACTCTCTCCCTCTTCATGTTTTGAAATTGTCCTTCCAGGGCTTCAGAGCTGTCATGTTGGGGCAGAACATTACAGAAATAAGGCTTACAGTAGCTCCAAACCCTCTCCAGACAGAAACCAGCTGTCACACAGGCTTACTGCTCCCCTCAACCCATGTTTCGAGAGCCATATTCGCAAAGATGGAGACATCAGTCAAATTGAACCTCCCACTGCAAGGAACGTGGAAAACAAAGACCCCAAGCGTTTTCCTGCAGTTGTACTTTCTGCTTTCAAAGGTTGAAAACCAAGTTGACACAAAAAAAGAAGCACTGTAAAGTCAGGGCAGCTTTCCTGCAGGGTATCAAATTAGACAAACAGGAAGTTTGGAAGTATGCTGTGCGTTAAGAAAAACCTCTCTTTATTTCTGAGAGCGAGACCTGCCCTTCTTTCATGTGTCAGAGTGATTTCCAGCGTGTTTTCCTTTGCAATGTCATGTGCTTATTATTTATATGTCAACATATAGAAAAGAAAAGGGAAAAAAGTATTTGCAGACATTTCCCTCATCAGAAAAAAAAACATTAAGGCAGTCTAAGGTGAAGTATGCTTAGATACACACACAACTTATTTGGACTGAAAAACAGAGAAAAACCAGAGGGCTGTTTGGTATACTCCTCAGAGAACATAGATTTCTTGCTCAACGTCCCTGAGATCAAAAAACTCTCCAAACACAGCTCTACGTGCATTTGAAGCTTGGGACAGAGATGTCACTTATGCTGTGCTACACTTTACAAGCAAAGAGAAAGACTTGAGGACAGAGTCTTTGCAAATGTTTTTCTGCTAACCAGCCATCAAAAGTTCACCCTCAGATCTGAAACTTTCATGCAGTATTTCCAGAATTTAAAAAAAAAAAAAAAAAAAAAACACAATGTTGAATAAGTTTTCAATGAAGCAGAGTTATAGAGAAGCATTTGAATTATGGTTTTAAAATAAAGAATATCCCAACTCCAGTACAGGGTGTTACAGATCCAACAGGCAGGCGAGTGCTCACAGAAAATACACTACACCTGAGAGTCTTTGAGAAGTGAAGCGGCACTGTCGAGGGGCAGGCTGGGCTCGTGGTCGATGTGGAGGCAATGTCGAATCCTGGCAGACAATCAGCGGGGCAGACTAATTCCAGAGGGATCAGACGGAAGGATAGTTGTGGACAGGCAGTAGGTCGGGAAACCGGCAACACAGTGAAACCTGAAGTTCTCACAGGAGTGAAGAAACTTAACAGGGAGTGAAGAAACTTAACAGGGGATCCAAGGGCTGAGACAAGAAGACGTGGTCAGAGACAAGCAGGAGTCGAAACCGAGAAGTCAATCCGAGAAATAACCCTGGAGAGTCATGCATGCTGCGAAGACAATCTGGCACTGACTGAGGGACACAGAGTGACTTAAATACTGGCTGGCTAATCAGCAGTGAGGAGCTGCAGCTTGTCACTCACAGGTGTGGGGAATCAGCGCTGATGAGGAGGTGTGGCAGGGATGTGAGTGAGAATCAGCCTGAGAAACACAGCAGAGTGTGACAACACATAGAGCAAACACACAAATGCTCACGTTGGTGTCATCAGTGTGCTGGTGGCATGTTGCTGTCCTGATGACACATGAAAGCTGCTGCACTTTGGACAAACAAATCTGCAGTTCTGTCCTGCTGTGGCATTGGTTTGACGCCTGCTATGCCTAAAACACACCTTTTGATCATTTAGGGAGTTAATCCAACCTCTCTGCTCCCTGCACCTCACAAAGTGGCCAGATTGTGCACTGTTTAACTAGCAACAAATTGCACACATATTGGACCCTCATTCACCAGTGGTGTGTCGGTCATAAACGAACGGATTAAAAGAACTAGTTCTTTTTTGGTGAACGAAATGAACGAGGTCCCCCTTCCCCAAATGATCCGTTCAGTCTGTTCAGTTCTTTTGATTGGTCAGTTCACTATTCCTTAGGGAGGGACTATCTCCGTGCTTGCCTGTCTTATCCTATTGTCGCGCCTCGCTCTGTGGGTGGGTGGGGCTTAGAGAGAAGCAGCAGTGGTACTGAGTGGACTGAAAGAGCAGGACCAATGACCGACTTGGTCTCCGTCTTTTCAGTCAGCTCGGTCTGACCGAGAGATTGACTGACTCTCAGACTGACTAAGTACAAGCGTTCACTCTCAGGTGCTGTCAGCCTGTCACTAGCCGACCGACTTGTGAACGCAATGGGATGTACTGAATGAAATAAACTATAAGGCAGTCTCTTGTGGGGGGTATCTGTACTCACGAGTCCAACAAACAGTGCCGCGGCCGCTGCACGAGCCGACTGCCGAACCCGAGCGAGCGGGACAGTAACACTCACACACACACACACACACACACACACACAGGCAGGCACACAGCTGCTGCTGCAGCCAGAGGCAGAGACTCACTAGCAGAAGGTTTAGCATGCTAAGCTAACAAACAGCGGTTGATTAGAGTACGTGGGGTTGCTTGAGGCAGCCGGATGTGTTTGTCCAGTAAAATATCCCGATGCCTTACGGTGTCTGTGTACAGACACATCTGTATTCAGCCACCATTTGAATTAGTATCAATGTATAATGTGCTAGCCTAGCTATATAGCTTGTTTTAGCTGGGTCAACATGCCGGTGTTTCGGTGTAAAAAGTGTTACCTGGAGACTTTCGAAAAAATGTGCATGAGATTGTCCCAAGTCGCACAGCTGTTGAATACGTATCCTTAGATCTCTCTGTGTTTTGAATGTAAGCAAAGACATACTTGTTGGAAATACTTGATGTTATTGTCACAAAGGGAGCCAAGAGGCTCTCATTCATTCAGAATCTAAACAGATCTCCCCCTGCATAAACCCGGTCAGCCGTGTCAAGTCAGTCCGTTCGCTTACGTTTGTTCAGACGCTAGACGAATGTGAACATGAGTGAACAGACTGACTAACGACCAATTGACTGAAATGACCGAATTGAACAGATCTTTTTACTGAACGAACCAGAATGATCTGGTTCACTGAAATGAACGGTTTTACCCACCACTATCATTCACTTTGACCTG